CAAATATTGCTATCTAAAGTTAGTAGTAATTACTTTAATAAGTAGAGCCTATACATTAAAATCCTAATTTTCTTCTTAACTCCACTACTGTGTGTGTGACTTCTTATAAGTTAATACTTTTATAGCTCTGTTTCTTCATCTATAGAATAATGAATTCGACTCTGAACTTAAAACTCTAAATTTCTTATCAACTGGAGAAATTTTGCCTAAACTACTGAAAATATAAAGATATCAATTCCTTATAAATATGTATGTCTCACTTTGTCTGGAGTAAGTAAACATGGTTCCCATTCAGGGTTTGAAAATGAAAAAAGTATGGATTTAGAGGAGGCAGACACAGAGGTAGGAGAGGTTCTTTTCCGATCTAGTATGGAACATGGCTCTAAAGCATGATCAGAGGCTTCAAACACAGTAGGACAAAACCTTTAGAAAGTCTTTAGAATATAGCTCTTTAAAGAGGTAAATCGAAGTTCATTGAGGGTATCATCTTTATTTGACACTTAGAAACCTAAAATTTTCCTAACTGATTATTGTTAAGGGCAGAAAGAGTCTGTGTGCATCCTTGGTTAGTTTAGCAGTAAATATCTGTTTATCATTGTTAAATGAATTGTAAATAAAATATTTCTTTTTCTTCACTGTCATCTTAAAATAAGATTTAGTTTCGTTATTTATAGAGTGTACTCTTATCCTGTTACTCACCCCCTTCCTTCCAAGCACAATGAAATATGTCTTCGCCTCTATAATATTGCCATTATTGAAGTATTTCATGGGGAAAGAAATTCTTACTGTGGACTGAAATAGGATTTTTTTTTAATTGGGTTTTAATTACCTCCTACTCTAGTAAGTTTAGAGCTTTTGTAGACATCAGTTTATTGTGCCAAGCCCAGTAGCCCCTAGAGGGAGTATAAATTTAGGCAAAGGAGCCAAGGGATAAACAGGTGTTGAAGGAGAAGAGGTGGGAGAAAAGGAAAACTTTATCGTGGCTCTAAATTACTAAATAATGATGTTTCTTTAGTCTCTCTTAATTGTTTATCCCAACACGTTTGTCTTTTCTTCTCTTCAGCCCTGAATTTCTAGATCCTTTGCCTGTATTAACTTGCTTCAGATCGTAAGCCTAACTTATAACTTACACTACCCCAAGTACATGAACTTTTCCCCAGATCTCTGAGCTCTTTCTCTTTTCTTAGAGTACATCTCTTATTTTCCAATAATTCTTATTTATTTCTTCTAATGCTTATCACTTCTCTCTCCTATACTTTTCTTTTTTTGCATGTTTCTTACATATCCTTTTCTCACACGATTTATTTTACTTTAGCAAAATTGAAATATACACTGTTAGAGATGAGTGAAAATAATTTTTAGCCACATTCAGATTATTAGTAGCACCTCCTCTTTGTTTACATATATTTTAAAGTTCCAGAGAGCCACTTAAATTATTATTTGCTACAAACACTAGTCTATGTGCACCTATGTCAGCAGTACAGGTATAATTCTTTCTACTGTACACTGAGAAAACAGACTTTTGAGACATTGCATGAATTGCCTGAGTCAGTGTCACGATTCACAGAAATTTAGAGCAGGAGGAAACCCAGTGAAGATTTTACTTGGAGGAACTTAAGTCTCATCTATAAAAAGTGATTTTTCAGAGATCACCAGACTAATTAAGTTGTAGGCTAGAACTCAAATTTCCTAACTCATAATACAGTACTTTTTCCTAACATACATTTTCTCCTCCCAAGATAAAAAGCTTTATGTTAAACAGTACAACGGCAGTGTTTTTCCTCAATATCTCAGTTTGGGTTGGAAATGGAAGATAAGCATATAATGCAGCTGCCACATTAGTTCTCAGGCAAGTTGGTTGTGTAGCTAAATGTACATATATATTTACTGCTTTCTTAAGTGTTATGTGATTTAAAAATTGAGGATATAAACATACAAAAAAGTCTTCTAATATTCTCTCTGTCTTCCCTTTTTACTGTTTAGTCATTCAAAAGTAGGAAATTTAAGTATAGAAGTATTTAAGAATAATCTCAACTTACATGTATAACAAAATTTTGAATAATCAGTAGATTCAGAAGTTGAATCTTAGTGGTTATTTTCTTTTAACCCTTATTGAAAATTTTTCTGACTTTTTTTCCATCTTAATTGTGTTGAATTTATTCATTTATTGGCCTATTAAAAATTTTTACTGCTTCAGAGTTTTTCTGTATATCTGTTGATTTTTATTATTTTAATAGTTTAAATATCAGGGTAGTAGATTGGGCTGAACATATTGATTTCAGAATACATTTTAGAAGCTTTTGTTTTTAGTGAATCCCAGTTTAAGGGTTATTGCTTTCAAAAAGAAGAAATTTGGTTAATTGTCGCATCTGGCTAGTTGGAGTTTAGAGAAATGAGGTTTCTTGTATACAGAGTCTTTTATTTAGTATGCAAGGTGGGAAAAAATCCTAATAATTTCATAACAATACTGTGTGAACAACCTGATACCAAAGCTCTGAAAAAGAAACCAGGCCTAGGAGATGAGGAGTCTAGGGAGGATTTTTTCTTTTTTTTTTTAATATTTATTTATTTATTTGGTTGCACCAGGTCTTAGTTGCAGCATGTGGGCTCCTTAGTTGCCGCATGCGTGTGGTTTCTAGTTCCCTGACCAGGGATCGAACCCGGGCTCCCTGCATTGGGAGCGTGGAGTCTTAACCACTGCGCCACCAGGGAAGTCCCCTTGGGAGGATTTTTAGGTGGAGGATGTTTTAGATTCTAAAATAGTAAGTTGTGGCTAATAGGATGAAAATAATCATTAACCCTCTTAAAAGATCTGAAGTAATATTACTGCCATTGAGAAAAGTGGGCATTGCAAACTGATATTACTCAGCCTACCTTTTGTGTCAGCCTAAGCAAGAAGAGATTTTTCTCTTTTTCTGTAATACCTGCCTATTTTTAACATATTGAGTTTCACATAATTTCAAAAATGTCTATAAAATATACCTTTCTGGCCCTGAATTAGTGAGTGTACATATTTGTCTTTACTTTGAAATCTCATAATTGGGCCCTAGATTGCAGAGTGAATTTAAAACTTAGGGAATCCACTATATCCCCAAACATTTTTTTTATAAAAGGGGAGAAAAGTGTAAAATTTCAACGTAAATACCTTGCTGTTAGCATGAGAATTCATAAAAATAAAAATAATCTCAGTGTTTTCTTTCAAATGTAATGATAGAGGATAGATATTATAAAGCCACAGGAACTTAAAAGGGACATTTTGAGAAAATGCCATGTTTGTATATATCTAAATATATATTCACTAACATATTTTGTCAGAGATCAAAACTGAGGAAGAAATTTGACTTTCTGGTGGTTTGTGAGAGAGTTGATCAGAGATTGCTTCTTGGCTAAGTTGCTGTCTGCATAGGCTGTTAACAATTGTTTCTCTGGCAGCAGATCTTGTTCATCAGGATTGCATCATTTCTGGGAGAATGGCCAAGGTCCACAGCCACAGTACAAAGACTGTCTGAAGCATATGAGGCCTGTTCTTTTTCTGAAGCGGCACTCCTCTTCCTGCCAGTCCTCTTCACAGGATTACTGAAGCAGACTTGTTCTGAATTTCTTTCATCGGATTGGCTGTTTATTGGACTCTTGTCTCCCAGCTGCTTCCGGCTCACCTGGCTGATGCAATTTCTTTTTCTGAAATCTCTGTTGGAGTTGTTCTTAAAACACTTTTTGTCTGTTTTCTCTGAGAGTGACCTGACAGATCACATGGGTCTTGTGCTTTCAGCAAGTCATATAGAGAAGAGACTGTCAGAATGGCAGATACAGAGACTATTGACCATTTCTGAATTCAATTTAAAAGACTGGGGTAATTATAAACTATTTCTGGCACGTTCTTAAAAGCCTTTTCCTTAGAAACTATATGTAAATGGTGACTTCTCAAAAGAGTACTCAGTACTGGGAGTCAAGCTGGTTCTGCTTCTGAGTCCAAGAACTTAACTACAGTTCCTGGGGGGGTCTGATGGATTGTAGTTAAACTGAAATGAAATTGAAATTCCGATGCATTCATTTTCCCCCTACTGTATACTCATGTACTTCTCTTTTTACTCCTGTCCGTTTTTCTTTCTTATTTGTTGTTGCTAAAGGAGTCTGTTTCTTCCTTGGTGTAATTTTTATCTTCCTTCCATTTACTGTTACCTTCATACCTTTTATTTTTACAGTTCTGAGTATGCTCTTTTAAAATTGTTTCTAAAGAATAGTTTATTTTCCAATTTTTAATAAAAAGTTAGAAATCCATAAGATATCAACATAAAGAACATTTACTCTCTACTGCTTGGTAACTGGAATCTCACACACAGCTCTTTTCACATATATGATATAACATTTCAGATGTTGAAACTCCTTTCTGGCTAATGTTAAATTTGACTCCCCCCCCCCACCCCAAGTCCTATGTCATCACCTATTTTCCTTTTCTTTTTGGAGTGTAGAAAGCTAATTAAAGCTCTGTTTTCTACATGCTTTCCATTGTGTAGTTGACCACAAATGGATTCCCTCTTGTCACTCTTTCTGTAGTAGGACAAGAGGGTAGGGGGAAGAAAGGACTAATATGAACTCTAATAGATCATGGTAGGTCCCTGTCTGACTGGAGAATAAATCTGACATTTGATTAAAGAAAAGCCTCCGAATTTAAGAATGGGTCAGAGGAGGAGAAAAGCACCTCCTAGGAGAGATAAAAAGAAGGAATCCTTTGGGAAATGGGAGAGAATTCTGATTTGAAGGAAAGAAAAGGATTACCCAGAGACAATATATATCACTTCTTAACTCAAATAGACAACTGCCTTTTCTACCCTTTATTTAGGTTCTGGCTTTACAGGAAAATAAGATAACAAGGTTAAAGGACAAAGATACAGTACTAAATGGAACAATTACCGTTAAAATATTATTTCTGTAGAATTCTATTCCATGTGTCCATCTGTGTTATTTCTTTCTATACTAATTTGCTTCTCAACTTTTTCTAGGTCTTCAGAACTACTGGCAGATAATTTTGGGGGACTTCATATTCAGAGGTCTATAAAAAGGTGACTGAGCCAAGTAAATTCTTTTAATTTGTTTTAATTTTTGTACTTCAATGAATGCTAAAAACTATAATTTTGATATGAGTGATCATAATTTATTCAGCAAATATTCTCAAATACCCTCTATGTGCCAGGTGCTATTGTAGGCTGTGGAACTACAACAGAGGATAAAATACAAAAATCCTTGTCCTCATTGAGTTTTTACTTTGGTAGGAAGAGAGAGAGACAAATTAACAAGTAAAAGATACTTTGAAACTGTTCCACCTAGAGATTTTAATTCTTATCAATTCTTTCTAGGACATATCTCCAACTATGTGATAAATTAGTAACTGCTATAACTACTAAGCTTGGTAAACTGTAGTAGGAGCCTATTGTCTTGTCTTATAAAACCAGGGTAATTATAGTAAAATACTGCATATAGATAATCTGTTAGAAGTTCTTCAGTTAACATTTGAATAGCTACATTTTGCATGTTATTTAGGAAAGGAACTAGTCTTGGAGTCATATGAGAAATTAGGTTTTGTTATCTTTTTTTTTAATTAAAAACACCCAATATTATAAGAGTATTATTTGGAACAGGATAACCAAGCTAATCCAAAATGCCTTCATCAGAAGAGTGGAAGGGGTCATGTAAAATTACACAAAAGGGAAATGGAAGAATTCATGAAAGTAATTAACTACTTAATCTTTCTTAAAGTTATTTTTCAGCTATCCAAATTAGCTGAGTTGAGATTTCATTAAGGAATGTATTAATCACTTATTCATTTATTAAGGAGACATTATCTGAAGTGATTTTTCCATCTTTTCCTTTTAGTGTATCTTTTTTTGACTCAGAAAAATAACCACTGTCAGCTTAGTTTTGTAAGCTTTCTTTTATCTAGACACCTACATTTTTTTATGGGCATATAACAGTAATGGCTATGACAGAGGATTTTTTAATGGTGTTGAGTAATTGGTAGTGAGGGGTTCTTTACTGAAATATAACACATGATTCAGATTCCTGTATTGGTCAAGGTAGTAGTATGCTCATTATTAGACTCTGTTCTGGTTATTTAGCCAAGTAGCCTCTGGGCTTTTTTTTTTTTTTTTTGAGAATTATGCAGTGATACCAAATAGAGAAAGAGTTGTAACCAACAATCCCCAATGTTTAAAAATGCCCTTTTGGGCTTATTTGATAAGTATTCTCTCTTCTGTTACTTGTAGATTTTATTTCAATTTCCCAGAGGATTAGAGAATGTACTGCTCTCCTCTGGTTTGTTAGGGAAAGGAAACATTTATGTGTAAAATAGGCCCAAAGGCAGAAAGTTGTATTAGTCACTTTTGTTTTATGAGCTGTGAGGAAGCAATAGATAGGAAGATTTGCCCTTTTCATTTCAGTCTCAAGTCCAACATGTCACCTCAAGTTGAGTGGGAACGGGTATACTGCCACACCCGGATTTGGAGAGTCCTAGGTCCATTAGTGAGATCCAGCTCTTTCAAAGTGTAGGTGCCAGGGAGGACTGCTTAGTTTATAGCTGTTCTAGCATTGTAAAATAATGATACAGAATAGTATTATCTTTACGTGTTCTTAAAAATCTTGTCCTGATTCACTGTTAACTATTGGTTTTCTTTTCCATGTTAATTTGCTTCATATTTCAAAATAAGAGTCAAGCATCTGAGATCATCTACCATTTTAAAATTTGCATTGACCCCCTGTATTGACTCAATTAATATGGTATAGTTTTCATTTGATTTAATTTTTTTAGTATAAATAACCATTTTCTGCTGTCTTATTTGTCTTATCATGAATCAGTATATCAGTCATGACTTCTTTTTGTAGTTTTTTTGCAAAAATCTGTATTAACCTGGGCCTTAACAGTCACATTGACTTTCTTTCCTCCCACATAAAATGCTTTGTGTTCCATTCTTTTAATGTTTTTTTTTTTTTACAGAACTATAAAATCACTAATGTAAAGTCAAAGTACACTTTTTCCCTTTGCACCATACCTCCAAATCTCTTAATCTACTTAATCTACTTTTGTTTCTTTACACTACCAAGTTTGTTTCTTTCTGTTCCCAAACTCCACTGGCTGTGGTCACCAACTCAAGGTATCCTCACTGCCTTTCCATGCAAAATTTTCTTATTTTTATCATGAAACTGTACACTTCGTGGTTTATGTTTTTATTCATACCTAGCAGTGGATATTATCTCACAGATATCATTACTAACTACATCTTCTCCCAAAATTATAGTTATTAAAAAGGTTTAAAAGAAGGAAAAGAGTATTCCATGACAAAAGAAGGCAATAAGAAACAGCTATTCAGTCAAATATAAGCAAATTGATTTCTTTTATCATCATATTTAATTTGGAAGGAATAACATTAAACTATAACATTAAACTAGTAAATTCTTTTAACTGTTCTCTTTCTTGTTAGTTAGGTCCTAGGGTGTCAGAAATTTTTGTTTGATAAACAGTTGTGGAATGGGAGAAATGTGCTCATTGGTGAGCAGACTGTTACTTTCCCTTTATCTGAAAAGAAAAAAATTAAAATAGAAATGAAAAGTGAGCATAACTTTTGCTACCTCACTTTGTGGAACATTAATGTAGAACATAGTAAACACGATACAATGTTGATCCCTTGTATTTGTTTTATATTTATCCCTTAAAAGCTTTTTTCAAAAAATAGAAAAATATTCAGTAGTATTTGCAATAAATTCAAAGAACTTTCTGGTTACTAGATGTTTTCCTTTTCTGTTCTAGGATTCCTCATGTCCATAACATGTTGGTTGAGGCTCTGCAGCTCACCCCCACTCTCAGAGTGGCCAGTCTCTGATAATTGGACCCCGTGATTTCCACTTCCTGCTGTGTTGGACGTCATGAGCATTGCAATCCCTCTGGGAGTCACCACACCAGATACATCCTACTCAGATATGGCTGCTGGATCAGAGTAAGTGCTGCTTCCTAGGTAGCAGATACATTACCAGTTTGTGTGGAGACAAATTTCTTGTGGGCATCTAATAATAAATAACGTGGTATTTTCTAAACCCAAGCCTAGCCCATTGTAAATGACATTAGACCTTTCCCTTTCCCCCATAGAAACTGGAGGAAAAAAAGAATTAGAAGCAGGAGGAAAAGAATTTGGCGGGGTGGGATTTCTGAGTAAATAATTAATAGAATTAAATTTTCAAGGTAGTGATTATGTTTTCATTTGTTTTGATGGGTGAGGAAGATTGAAATAAGCGTCACTACCTGCTTCTGTAGAGTTAATGATTATCTGATGAATGAAGGATAAGGAGGAGTTCTCTCCAACTGATTTTCCTTGAAGGCCTCTTCCTATGTACTTCTCATTGTTCTAGAGTAAAGGGGCTGCAGCTATATGGGCAGGTTACTTAGACATTCTGATATTTGGGATAGAAAATGTGGAAATTAGTATCATCTGTTTTTATAATATTCATTGCCTAGAAAGAGGACCTTCAAAATCAGTGGTACCAAACTTTTTTTTCAGCTAAGAGCAGCTTTAGGAATTCAGAATTTGTCGAAAAGTCCAATCCCTAAAATAGACTCTCAATTCTTGAAGAATTTAAATGCCAAATGGCAATGAAGGTAGGCCTTCATTATAAAACTTTATATTCACAGTTTAAAATTTTTTAGCCTTTTGTATCCCTTCTCTTTTAAGTTGTCCAAGATTCCCCCTGCTCACAGATTCCCCCCCTCTTGTCCTTTTACCTCCCTTGTACCCAATCTTCCTTGCTTACAGAAAGGAAGTGGAAGCCCCCTACCTTTCAAGACGAAGTGGCACTACACCAGGATGTGAAAGTCCAGCGAAAGAGACCCAAGGGGCCTAGGGGGCAGCACACCCCCAGAAGCCAAGTCTATTCCAGGCAGTACCAGGGATTAGGGTCTGGGCTGGAAAAATCCTGGTGTTTTGAATATGTTCAGGTCCAGTTCAGACTCTTGATCCCACAGCCACTTCTTGAGTGAGGTGGGTGTTGCTCTAATTCCCCTGTTTCTCTTGCCATTCTCACAGTCCCTGGGGATTCCTTCCCCTTCAGCAAAGTAAAGAAGCTGTACCAGAACTCTGGGTTCAACTGCATCCCTGATAATAGTGGTTTTCTTCCTTAAGACTGAGAATATCAGTAAAGAGCATGTATGTTTCTTCACAAAGCCACCTAGGATAATTTAACTGTTTCATGACTTCCTTAAAGAGGAAGACTTAAAATGAAGCTACCCTAAGAAGCAGTGTATTATATTCTGGGGTCGTGTAGAATTGAAAGCAGTTTCTGGCCTTATTCCCATATAAAAAGGAAGATGGAGGGTCGGGGGGTAGGGAAGGGTGGATTGTGTTACTTCCAGGGCCTTTTTTCCTGTTTTGTTTTGTTTTTGTTTTTTTGCATGCCACAGAGATGTAGTTATGCCAATAGCCGAGACTACCAATTTTACAACTATTTCCCAAATAGAGTACTTAAAAATCTTCCTGCATTCATAGATAATTGTGTAGTGTTAATGAATTTGTATAAAGTCAACCACTAACCTCCTATATGGATTGGCTGACAGACTGTATATGTAAACAACATTAACATTTGTCAGAAATTTCAACGAAAAGATTAACTCAACGAGTTTCGGGTTAGTAACTAAGGAAAAGACCTAAAGCTATTATTCTTAAAACATGGATTTTTCCCATAGTACAGAGCTAACTGCCCATAAATGTTGCTAGGGAGTCCAGAGGTAATTGCAGAATCAAAAAATACTTGTGGCCTAAAAGTTTGACTGCAGTGTTTCTATTTCCTGAAACATTTTCATCCATAATCTCCAGACAGATTTCTGATACTGTGGTCTTAGCTAATTACACAGTTTTTCGTTTAGTATTCCTATAAAGCAAGAGAATGTCAACAATTAGCTTATATACCACTCTATTAAATTATTGATGATATTTGTTAATGCTTCACTGTGCATATGTCACTGTCATGCATATTCCACTGTTCTGGGCACTCTAAGATTAAACCTGGTATTAAGGACAACATCCTCAACTAAATAAAAGGTCTAGACCTTACCTTATGGGATTTTAAATCTGATGGCAATGGTATGCATTATGTTTTGTTTTTGTTTTTTTTTGTATATTTGTAGGAAAACCTCTAGATGTAACAATAGAAGCAAAGACTTTTCTGAATTTACAATCCTGCCATAAATGAATTAAAGACATTTTCTAAGAGGTAGTGTTATAACAGCAGGTTGCATATTATACTTGGAACACAGTTGATGGAGTATATCTTTCGTAAGCATGGCTTCTGTGTATGTGCCTAGCTGTCATAGAAGTTCAAACATAGGGGAAGAAAGGCTATAATTACATTTGCATAAAATCATTCGCTAATAAAGAGATGCAATCCTAACACTCCAAAATTTTTATCGATATTTTAAAATATAGATAAGAGCTGATATATGTTTCTGTATGTCAGGGAATATCCTAGGAAATCCTGTAGTTACCTGTCAGCATGTAACTATGTATTTAATCAGTAACCAGTATGGAAATTGCAAAGTTTCCTCATCAAAAGATGTGAGCTTAAATTTTAGTATTTGGCACACATAGCAATATATTAAATGCTATGCTTGACTACAAAGTATTGTGCAGTGGGATGGCCTTTTAACCTACACAATATACATTTTATTTTTATTCCCTAGACTTGCACATGAAGTGCATATGTTCATATTTACCCAGTTTGGAGATGGGTAAGATACAACCGGCATAGCTCCATCTCCATGGCCATCTTTTATTTCATGCCACTTTCCTTTTTCCCGTCCAAAAAAAACAAATTCCATTTCTAATAAACAGCTATCATGTTTCACCTCATGTGTTCAGTGGTACAAAATCTCTTGCATAAAATATGTACAGCTCTTTGAAATACTTGTTTATCTAGTAAATTAACAATGTTGTGTAAAGTTATTACTTTCTCTTAACCTGTCCATCATAGAAACTAAATTCTACCTTCATCTTATTAATGCTTGTTTGCCTTTGGTTTATTTAAGAAACCCCACCTGTTTCCTAATACTCAGAGCTGATTGCCTCTCAGTGAGCCACGTTCAGATCATCTATTTCTCAAGAATACTGACCTGCATTTTTGATGTATTCCCCTACCCCCGCCCAGTTCCCATCTTGCAGACACTGTTAAGTAATAAAATGCATGCACTTCACTAACAGAGAATACTTTCCTGTGTCTAAAGTTCTTCTTCACCTAGAAATTACCTTTGCTGTTATTTATAAGATCCCTTCTTACAGTTTTGGAGCAAATAACTGGGTGAGTTGGATACATATCTGAGAATTTTCTTTTATCCCTCACTTCTCAGCTGACATTACACCACATTGAACTGCACACTTGATTCCTGCCAAGTCCTATATTATGTGTATTTCTAAGCAGGAAAAATGTACATTACTTGAAGCAAACAATATTCATTATTTGATTCCCTAAAAGACCCTTTGATCCACCACTAAGGCTGAGTTACGTGTGTCTTTGGAGTTTCTGATTTGTGAATCTCAGTGCTGGTTAATTTGAATGACGGATAACCCATTATTCAGTTCTGCAAATCATACAATTGCATTCGTTAATTATCTTTCAGTATTCTCCAAAACCTAACCAGGTACCTAAGTAATCAGAGTTAAAGTTCTTTTTGCCCCAAAACGTGAATTTTGTCCTTAGCCACTTATGCCTTTTTATTATCAAGTAAGGGCTTACATTAAATTTCTAAATTTGAACACATTTATAAAATTATTTTATTTTAATAAATTGTGTTTGAACAGTTTACTTTCCACTCAGTGAGGGTACAAAAACATACTCAACCAAGCTTCTCACTAAGCCTGGTTACTTAAGATCTTATGTAATTTTCTTTAAAAGAAGAAAGTTATCGTGGTTTCCAAACCAATTAGGCATAGTGGAAAGAGCACAGACTTTAGAGTCAGACATTGTTTCAAATCCTGGCTCTGTCAGTGGGTAACCTTGGTGAAGTCATATAATCTCACCACCTCAACTTCATGTTCTGTAAAGATGGGGTGCTGTTTATCATGTTTAGTAGTGGCACAGTAAATGGATTAATACATATAAAGCACCTTGCAAATAATGGGCAATTCAAAATGGTAGCCAATACTACTGTTGTTATTTGTCGTTAGACTAAACTTCTGAGTACAGTTTTGAATAGTTTGAAGTTCTGTGGTATTATCATGCAGCTATTAAATAATTGTGTCCTTGATATGCTTGCATGTCATTGGTAGATGAGAAATTATTACTCTAATATTTGGAAGGTGTTTGGGGGTTCATCAAGATGAGAGGTATGATAAATATAAGATGCCATTGTTTTTACCTGTACTTTCTTCAGGGTATCCTGTCTTGGTAGTGAATGGAAGAGGGCCTGGTCCCTGGGGCAGTGCAGAAGGCACTTTCATCATCTCACTCACTGCAAATGTCATGTGAGGTTTCATGGAAGTATTAAGAGATCCAATTAAGAAGAATAGTTCTGAGTCTAAACCAGCCCAGAGTGGCTTCTCTAGGGGAAACTCCCTGCTCAGCTGGTACGTTTGTGTTTGTCATTAGGGACACCTTGTATCCCAGGTGCCTGCTTTGAGACATCTGCCTGTACTGGCTTCATGTTACACACAAATCCACATTTAATGACACTCCTACTGTTATTTATAGGCTTAGTTATGTTAATCAGATTGTTTCACTGAGTTCTTTCTCTTATTCTAGTGGCTGGTGGTTGTGGAAAGAGGAGGGGTTAGAATGGGAAGTTAAGTCTTAGTTTAAGGGAAGATTAGGTGTTATGCTATCATGCGTTGCTTTTCGCCTTTGTGCAGCCCTGAATCTGTGGAGGCTAGTCCAGCAGTTAATGAGAAGAGCGTGTATTCCACTCATAATTATGGGACCACTCAGAGACATGGGTGTCGAGGACTGCCTTATGCTGTGAGTATGCATTTGTTTCTCTCCAGAGCAGTGATCTTCCTGGAGTGTAATCCATTCTTATACATTGTGACTTTCTTGAAATGTTTATATGCAGCATGACGAAGTTGCCCCTTTTGCACTTCCCTGCCTCCAGCGGACGTCTAGCCCTGCATCATTGTTCTTGTTTTTATGTCCCAGTTGACCTTGGCATTTTGTTTTATCACTTTCCTGGTTGAAGCCAAAAAACGAAGGGTACTACTTTCTTCTTTCTTTCCATATGTACCATACTTTAGGGGAGAGAGGGGCCAGTGTTTGGACACTGTTGATTTAAAAAATCTTATTTTCAGGATCATAATTACGGAGCCCCTCCTCCTCCGACACCTCCTGCTTCTCCCCCTGTCCAGACGATCATCCCCCGTTCTGACCTGAATGGCCTGCCGTCGCCCGTAGAGGAACGCTGTGGAGACAGCCCGAACTCTGAAGGAGAGACTGTTCCTACCTGGTGTCCTTGTGGTCTTTCTCAGGATGGCTTCCTTCTCAACTGTGACAAGTGCAGGTAAGATCGTGTTCCATCTAAATCCAGCCCTGGGTTGCTGGGATTAGGGTTTCTTATTAGTAGGGAAAAGCTCAAAGTATTCTTTCTTGTGTTTGTTAATGTAGATGATTCCTTAGTGCTCCTTGGCTCGAATTCTCTGCACTAGGTGAGAATTGCTGACAACAAGGAATGAGAGATTGATGTTAAAGCTATTGAATTTGATATGAAATTTAATGTCCTGGAAACATTTGGTAGGTGGGAGGAAGGGGGTAGTATATGCAGAGATACTTCTCCCATGTGTGTTGATGATGCGCTGCATGCTGTTGGAAGGACTACTTTAAGTTTATTTTCCCTCTTTAGGGGAATGAGCAGGGGGAAGGTTATTAGACTTCATCGGCGGAAGCAGGACAACATATCAGGTGAGCCAAAGATGGGTTAGGACCATATTTTGACATATACTATTTTGTGGTTTTAATATTCATCCCAAGAACCCCTCTTGTAAGTTCCCATGGTCCCCAGCTCTTTTCATGGACAGTGATTGAAGTCCTCTCAAGACCATTGTAATTCTATTGTTGTGAATTAATTGTATCCAGAGTCAACAATTTTAGCCCTATAGTAATCAAATTATTCCTTGTGAGCATGCACGGGCGCGCACACGTGTGCCCACGCACACACACACACATTCTTTTCTATGTTACATATACATTGAGGCAGTGGAGCTTGGGGACTGAATTCAAGGGTAGAAATACATGATATAGAACAGGGTTTCTATGCTTAATGCCAATGATGCAGAAAGCATCTTGTTTCTATATGGAATGTAGGTATATGTTCCACAGATAATAGAGTTAATAGTAGAAGTAAAAACTTACTGGGTATGGGCTAGATCGAAAGGAATAAGCTGCTTTTAATGTATTTATGAGGCTTTTTGTACAACATGAACTATGAAATAACCTTTTTTCAGGTGGGGATAGCAGTGCAACAGAAAGCTGGGATGAGGAGCTTTCTCCTTCCACTGTGTTGTATACAGCAACACAGCACACACCTACAAGCATCACCTTAACTGTTAGAAGAACCAAACCCAAGAAGCGGAAAAAGAGTCCAGAAAAGGGTCGTGCAGCACCAAAGACGAAGAAAATCAAGGTATGAAGGGTAAAGCTATCTCAGATAGAAATGTGTCTGAAATAGCCCAAATTTTGGATGAAGAATGCACCAGAATTCTTTTAAGAAATTTGATCCAGATGTTTGAAGGGCCACTTTTGCTCTTCTTGCACAAATCAGCTAATTTGTATTATGAACATGTAGATCAATCTCTCTTATTCCATATCATCACAACTGGCACAGAGTTTCTTTTGCTTCAGCCCCCATCCCAGGTATGAAATCCCAGCCCCGCCTGGCACAAGCCCATGTGTGCTGCAGCCTCCAGTCTAGGCTTCTACTGTCCTTACAGTATCTCCCACCTCCTCAATCCCAAAACCCAGTCTGAAATTCTTGTCCTGGTACATGCCCACTTCATGTCGTTGGTTGATTGTTTTTCCCTTGTTACAAAAAATTCAGGAAACATCTCTTGAATGGTCTAGGCTTCCTCAGTGTTGTGGTCACTTTCCTGTATTCTCAACTAAAAAGTCTCCAGAAGAAATCTCTTCTGTTTTGTGTTCTTTCTTCCCCATCACGGCAACTTTGTTGCTCCTAGGTGACTTGCCCACCCCTTGTTAAGGGGATTGGTCTTTGTTTCCTTCTTAATTTCAAAACTGGTAAATCTGCAGCCTTACTTAACATTTTTATTTACATTTTCTTTTAGTGTCAGGGGTGCATATAGGATTTAAGTGATGCATGCTCTTCCCTGTTTATTACCTAATTCTGCAATGGAGAGTATTGGAATTAGCCTCAGAGTTCACTGGCCATGTGCTACCCCTATTCTTGATAATAGTGTGGGGAATTCCATTGTATTTGTTACCTAGGGTAAAGGGAACAGACTAGAACAGTAGTTCTTGCCTTAGTTTTAGTCTCAGATAGGTATAACTGTCATTCTTGGTACCAAGTTTTGTTTTGTTCTACTTGTTTTCCTCTTTGGGATAGGCATTTCGAGAGGGATCCCGGAAGTCCTTGCGGATGAAGGTAAGGGGTTTTCTTCCCTGATGCTGTGTTTTACTTCACTGTGATCTTGCATTTTGGTCAGCTTCTTTCCTGACATTGATGGTCTGGGAATCTTGGACCCTGCTTTTCGTTAGTTTGTAATTGTTGCCATTCAGTTTTCATAGAGCCTTTCTCCAAAGTAGATTTTCTTGACCATTTTCTGAAATATTTTCCCTTTCTGTAATTAGCCTTCATTTATTGGTTTTTCATTAGCTGCTTCTCTCGGGGTGGGGGTAAGTGACATTTTGCCAGACAAAATGAGGCTGATGTTTTCCATCATTGTGATTGGCCTCCACCTCAGGAGTGAGGATTTTCTGGTGATAGAGCATCTCTTGTGCACCCGCCCTAGCACCCTGTAGACTTTAATCACCAGTTGGAAGGATAAATTTCATCAGTAGGAAGGTAGTAGTTTTGATAAGAATTATTCTTACTGGAATTACTTACTTTTGAGCTGTTTTCTCCTGGCATATCTGTTTGGTACAGAAGACTCGGGTGATGCTGGTGTGCTTCTTTTCTTTGGTTATCAAATAAAAGAGCTTATGAGGCATGATTTTGGGTAGTGGTTGGAGAATAGAGAAATTATGTACAATGGTTTAAAGGGACTTTCAGTTACTAGGTGATAAGGAAAGAGTTTGCCCAAAGGAGATTTGAATATACTGTCTGGTATCTTCCTTTACCTATGTGTGTATATAGAAGGACAGCATACCTCCCAAGCCATTACTTAATGGCTTCAAAGCATTTAATTAGAATTAAGGTTGAGTGTAATTCCATAAGTATACTTATGCCTAAATGTGTAACTGATATAAAAGCAGGATCTTTCCTGTTGACCATTCTGTGGTAAACATTAAACTCGTTAGTGAGGAGAGGCTTTCTTAGGATTTATGCGCACGCACGCACACACACACACACACATACACATACACATATGGAACACCAATATGACTCATGTTAGAAAGATCTCAGGTAGCACTTTATATAAAATTAGAAGGCCTCACCTTGCATATACCTATAAACAGATTTGTACATATCTGTAAAAGAGATGGGAGAGGACTTAAGAGCCCAAGACCATCAGAATCCTGGGATGTCTGGGAACACGATTACTGTTTCTTTGTTAGATCTATCTCCTACAAGGAGATAGTTGCTTAGAGGGGACCTTCAGTAGATTTAAGGGGCAGACGTAGCCCCTGATCCCAGGTGTTAAGCCCTTTTCTCTTTTATCAGCTAACTATTATAACTTACTTCCAGAGGTTTAAAAGCAGTTGATTGGCTCTCCCAGAAAACTACATGTAAACCCCAAATATTGCTTGCAGTTTTGAGATGTTGACAGATAGCCCCATAAGCATGTTAAAATTTAGATAACTAAAAAGTACTGGGGCTTCCCTGGTGGCGCAGTGGTTAGGAATCCGCCTGCCAATGCAGGGGACACGGGTTTGAGCCCTGGTTCAGGAAGATCCCACATGCTGCAGAGCAGCTAGGCCCGTGCGCCACAACTACTGAGCCTGCGCTCTAGAGCCCGCGCACCTAGAGCCGGTGCTCCAAGACGAGAGAGGCCACCGCAATGAGAGGCCCGCACACGGCAATGAAGAGTAGGCCCCCCCCTCAAAAAATAGTACTAGTTGGTTTATTTTGATTCTCATATCAGAATTCTAAATTGAGTTATAAATTTTGTACTCAGAATTAATTGTTAGTAAGAACTACACCAGACATCTGAGTGGGAACAATACTTTAAGAATGAGAAGAACCTATCATTTGGCTTTTTAACTCCAAAGTTGAATTTCCCTACTGGAGACTGCTCTAAACCAGGGTTTCTCAACCTCGACACTGTTGACATTTGAACCAAATAATTATTTGTAGGGATCAGGGCTGTCTTTCGCATTACAGTCGGCTGTGTAGCAGCATCCCTAGCATTTACCTGCTGGGTGCCAGTAACACACACACCCAGGTGTATTAATCAGAAATGACTTCAGGTATTACTAAATGTCTCCTTGGTGGCAAAACCCCCTCTGGTTGAGAACCACTGCTCTAAACCCACTGAGATGGGGTCTCCAGTACCTGGAAGAATGGGATAGCAGAGTATACAGTTATATTAGTGAACAGTAGCTAAAACTATGGCAGAGGCTTCCAGTATACATTGTTTAACAAGTTATAAGTTCAGTGATCACTGCTGGGTGCTTAAACCTGGGAATACTATTTGGGCACCCCTAATCCCCAGTCTTATAAACACCCTTAAGCCTCAGCTTTTGTACTTTTCTGTTGCTCAGCTGCTACTTACACCTCAAGCTGGTGATAGTCTGTTCTCAGTGTGTTAGCCTTAGGTGTTTGTTACATCCCTTGTTTTTTGTTCATTCTTTTGGACTCTAGTGACAAATGTGGAAAACAGTGGTGTTAACTTTTTCCTTTGATTTCCCTGTTCCTTGGGGGAAGGATGGTAGACAATAGTCAATCAAAACTAGTGACACAGAAGTGAAAGAAAGTAATTGTTATAATGGGTATAAATGTTTTCCCTGTCATTTGTGGAAACTATATTTAATTTTTTCATACCTGTTTTTGCAAGTTTAGAGTCGACATGGATTTGCAGGTAGCTTTGGTACTATAGTGTCTTTTCCTTCTAGTTGTCACTAGTGTGACATCATCACACGTTTGTTTTCTGACGACACCTTAAGTCTTAAACACAATGGAGGAGAACATGTATCAGAGTTCAGCTGTGTCTCTATAGCACAAGCACATATAAAACTGTTTAGGATGATGTTGGTGAGATGTAATAATCTTTCCTCAGTACTGTGTTGTCATAGAGGGCAGCGGTTTTCCAAAAGAGGTATAGCACAGTATCTCTCAGCATTTCCTACACTGCCCCTACCCACGCCCCTCCACCCACCTCACCTCTACAGAGGGTGGCTGTTTTAAAATGTCAAAAGTAGAGTGCTAGAAAGATATACTCCAAATGATAGCTTTTTCTATGGGAGGCAAGGGTATGAGTTACTTATTTGTTTATTTGGTTCACATGTATTTTTAGAATGAACATGTATTAATTGTATATTAAAAATAATAAGTCGCACAAAAACATTCTCCTGGATGCTAGTAAAACTACCAATTTGAGATGGCACACTGTTGTTTGATAAGTATTGAAATTTAAGCAGTATGGATATTTTAAGGTGTCTGTATTGTTCATTTTTATGAAGATTTTCTTATGAACTTGATGTCATTCTTCTGATGTTTGATTTTATGACTTAAAAATGGTCATAAAATGACAGTGATGGGATGGAATTGCAATCCAGATTAATTTCTCACTTTGTAAATGAGGAAACTGAACCTCACAGCTCACTGGTAATGAAACCATGATAGACTCCGAGGCCATTACTCTTATGGCACACCAACTGCCAAGTGAAAACTAATCTTCTCTGGATATTCAGCCCACCCCCCCCCACCCACCCCCCCACCCCCCCACCCACCCCTGCCCTTTTATGGACTCTCCTAACCTACTTGACCTTTGTTCTCTACAGAATTCTCCTTCTGAAGCACAGAATTTAGATGAGAATACAACTGAGGGATGGGAAAATCGGATAAGACTATGGACTGATCAATATGAAGAAGCCTTCACTAATCAGTACAGTGCAGATGTACAGAACGCCCTTGAACAACATCTACATTCTAGCAAGGAATTTGTGGGCAAACCTGCTATTTTAGACACTATTAATAAGACTGAATTGGCCTGTAATAATACAGTTATTGGTTCCCAAATGCAGGTAAGGATCAAAGGGTTAAAGACTCCCTAAGTAGTTGAGTTTTTTTTTTTTTTTTTTTTTTTTTTTTGCCGTACGCGGGCCTCTCACTGCTGTGGCCTCTCCCATTGCGGAGCATAGGCTCTGGACGCGCAGGCTCAGCGGCCATGGCTCACGGACCCAGCCGCTTCACGGCATGTGGGACCTTCCCAGACCGGGGCACGAACTCGTGTCCCCTGCACCGGCAGGCGGACTCTCAGCCACTGCACCACCAGAGAAGCCCAGTAGTTGAGATTTTAAGAACCCAGGAAAAGGACATATTTTGGAATTACTGTTTCTTTCAAATGGCCTTAGAATAACAAATTAGCCAGCTATTGAGCATCTTTAACTAAAAGCAAGTTACAGTAACTGGAAACTGTTCGGATACATGTTTTTAAACTACGTATCTTTATTAATTAAAAATAGATAAATTAGGGTAGGAAATTTTATACAGTCTCAGTAGGAGTTACTAAGATTAATAGAAACCTAAACCTAAACTCTTACATTAAACATAGAGCCACTAAAATTTTAATCATATATTTTTCTTAGATTTTTTTTTTTTTTGTCTTTGAGGTTTGGGGGGGTGGCAGGTTCACTAGATGGAGCCTGTTTCCTAGAAATACTAAGGTTTTATCATATTTTAAAATGTCTGATCATCGAGCTAAGTAACATATACAAATAAAACCTAAAAATATTGGTGCCTTTTCCTCAATTAAGAAATATTTTAAATGTCTGCTAAGCTGCTGTTGATATTATCTAATGTTAATATTCTGATTTTATTTAGCTACAGTTGGGAAGAGTCACTCGTGTTCAGAAGCACCGGAAGATCCTGAGGGCTGCAAGAGATTTGGCTTTGGACACTCTTATAATAGAGTATCGAGGCAAAGTCATGTTACGGCAGCAATTTGAGGTCAATGGACATTTCTTCAAAAAGTAAGAGCATCATTCATTGAGTAGTAAGGGCTGAAATAGGCCTGGCTGAGCATATGGCTATAAAAACCATCCTGGTTGATGGGATGCTCTTGGGGGAAAAGATTACAGCTCAGATAAGCTCACCCCTCTCTGCTATTTGTAGAGAAGTGCAAATAAACCTGCAAATTGTTTAACATATAAAGTGGTGATGACTCCTTTCCAAGCAAAGCATTCCTTGCTTTTTGCTTACTCTTTAATCAGAAGCAGACAAGCATGTGATGTTTTCCAAGTGTAGGCGTTACAAAGGACTACTGCTTCTTCTGTCAGCATATGCTTCATATTTGAAATCATGGGGTGGCCTTTTTATTTCTATTGAGAATTACAGGAATTTTAATTATATCCCTAGACCATACCCCTTTGTGCTCTTCTACTCAAAATTCAATGGTGTAGAGATGTGTGTGGATGCACGTACTTTCGGTAATGATGCTCGGTTCATCAGAAGATCATGTACACCAAATGCAGAGGTAAGATATCTGTAGCAATTTCTCTTTGAATGGAACCACCAAAAGGACAAGTCAACTGAAGAAGCAGTCTGAAAACTTCACCCAGATTAAGGTCTGTAGATAATGGTTATGATCTTTCGTTGTAAGAGATGAAAAACAAAAGTAATAATGCATCTATTCTCACAGGATGGGGGCAAGGAATGGATTTTCTTTAGAGAAGGCAGAAATGGGCAAAAGCATGTTAGCATTTGCTAAAGAGAAAGAGCTAGACTGGATAAGAAGTCAGTGACGTTATATTAAAGAATTGCCATATAAAAGATTTTATTATTGGGCCAAAACGAAAGTGTGTGGTTGTAGTTTTTTAGATTTTAGCTAATAGGATTGTGAGAGAGATTCTAGACATTTCTAAAGTTCAGTATTTGGTGCATAATGAGTGCAACCACATCAAATGCAGCAAGAAAATTCACAGGGCTTTTCTTATAGACTTAAGGAATTTTAATTTTCTGGTGCAACTGAAAACAGCTTTAAGATGTAGAGCAGGGGCTTCCTGGTGGCACAGTGGTTAAGAATCTGCCTGCCATTGCAGGGGATACGGGTTCAAGCCCTGGTCTGGGAAGATCCCACGTGTCGCGGAGCAACTAAGCCCGTGTGCCATAACTACTGAGCCTGCGCTCTAGAGCCCACGAGCTACAATTACTGAGCCCTTGTGCCACAACTACTGAAGCCTGCGTGCCTAGAGCCCGCGCTCTGCAACAAGAGAAGTAACTGCAGTGAAAGGCCCATGCACCGCAACAAAGAGTAGCCCCCGCTTGCCACAACTAGAGAAAGCCCGCGTGCAGAAACGAGGACCTAATGCAGCCCAAAATAAATATAAATAAATAGATTTATTTTAAAAAAAAAAGATGTAGAGCAGACCCTGATTGCTAACATCTCAAGATTTCTTCATTTATTTCAAGAAGTATCATAAATTTTCAATTACTGTATGATAGCTTCAAATGAAATGATGGAGTTAAATGACAGACTACCATTAACTCTAAGGGAGGAGATATCATTTTGGTAAAAGGTTTTTTCCCTCTTATGGAGAGTTCCTGGTCTTTTTGATAAATCATAACCATAAGCCTTGTTCACACAGGTGCGACACATGATTGCAGATGGGATGATTCACCTCTGTATCTATGCTGTGTCTGCCATCACCAAGGATGCTGAGGTCACCATAGCATTTGACTATGAGTACAGTAACTGGTAAGATTTCCACAACCTTTCCTAACATGAATTGCTTGTCTTACAGATTAAGCTATTCTGTTCAGCCTGCTTTTGTGCCTTGCCATTTGCTTCTTTTTTTTTTTTGAAACCTAATCTTTCCATGAGTAATGCATTTTCTGCCTAGAAATTGTGGAGGGAAAGACAGACTGAGGGTGTTTTTTTAAGAGACACAGCTACATAGTGTGATACTGCTTACCAGTCTTCTAACCAAGGGTGTTTTGGCCTCTGCCTCTATGTAGCAAGCATAACAAAAAGTGTATGTATGAAACACTCGTAGAAATTGTAGTAGCATTTATTGTTATGCACACAGCACTTGTACCAGGGATCATATAGAATGATAATTTAAAGCTTTGCTCCATCCACTCAAGCTGTGTAATGTAGCTGTATATGGCAATGCAGAAAAACAGATGGCAAATCATAGGTGATTATGTGATGGGTTTTGTAAAATGGATGCTTTTCTCCCTTGGTCCTTTCAGGCAAACAGGGGTTATGTGGCAATTGATGTTTGGGCACAGGTGCAAGAAGAAAAGGTATTAATAATAAGTAGGGAATCAGTAGATAAAAGTGAGGACATGGAGAAGGGTACGGCCACTGCAGAGTCTGTCACTGATTCACTAAATAGCGTAGACAGTTGGGAGAATTGAATTTAGTGGGGACTTCATTTCCTTTCCACTGACCATATATAGGGGAAGCGTTGGGGTTATATAGAGAAACACAGAATGTTGAAAGTATTTATCGGACTTTCTTAATGACTATTTACCTTGTTCAAAGATGAAGCTAGAGTAAATTACTATACTAATATTTCAAGAGAATGAATGGGTAATATAACTGATACTCAGGGGTACTGAAACAGGCACTTTTGGTTGTTTCTTTGGAGCAGTAATTATAAAGTGGACTGTGCATGTCACAAGGGGAACCGGAATTGCCCTATACAGAAAAGGAATCCCAGTGCTGCAGAACCGCCACTTCCACCTCCTCCAAGCCTCCCCACCATCGGAGCAGAGACAAGACGTAGAAAAGCACGACGGAAAGAGCTAGAGATGGAGCAGCAGAATGAGGCTCCAGAAGAGGAAAACAACCAGCAGCCAGAGCAAATTCCTGAGAAAGTAATGGTATCCAGTGACCATGAGGTAATCTCCCCTGGTCAGAGGCTGTTGCTTTGGTGTTGATCCTCTTCAGATGAAGAGGATCCCAGGTTGCCACATGTTGTTTTATGTAGGGAATCTATATTAACACTTAATAACCTTCATATCAAGGTGGGTGTGCTTTCATTCATTATCTTTTTATTATTTTTTACAATGTCAAGAACATCCTTTCAGGTACTTACCAGGTTTCAGTCCAGTGAATGAAATTTATCATCTGTGTTTACTATGTAGACCCACATGAGTAACACTATAAAGCACTAGAAATTGTTTCTAGAGAGTTTTAAGCTACGAGCCAAAAAACAGGGATTGAGTTTTCTTAGAGCTTAAGAATACAGCTGAGTATTTACTCTGTCTTAAAGGCAATAGACAATCCAGAAGAAAAAGCAGAAGAAGAGAAAGAAGAGATTACAGATGACCAGGAGAACCCAGCTCATAGCAAGAGGGTGAGTACCTTCTAATGTCTTTTTGTTCCTGCTGACTCATGTTACCTATAGCATGTACCCCTTGTCTTCTCAATTTATATCATCTCATTTCTTCAGTAAGTTACTATGCCATCACCTCTAGGTCACAGTGTGGGCTTTTTCTATAAAGTAGATTTTATTACGATTTTTTACACAGACACACGTAGTTCTCTAGTGACTGTTACCAGATGATGGTTTTAAGAGGTTTCTTACTAACGGTTTGATTTCCAAAAAACTGTCTTAATGGAACAAAATATCCTTAGGCTACTTACTCTAACTTAGGAATTTCCTAAGTTTGTTGTGTGAATTTTGTCATTTAAAAAACAAACAAAACATTCAGTCATATGGATTCAAAAATTCTGCTTTATGGCTGAAATCAGTCATGTTTATTTCTGTCCCTGAGAAGCTGTTTAAGAAAATCTGCTTGACTTTTTTTTTTTTTGAACTCTGAAAATACAGAGAAAAATTGGTTTTGATGGTTAGTTTTCTTTTGTATTAAAAAGTTTCAAAATAGCTGATCCTTTTTGAAAAGCTTGGGTTTGACCTTGCCTTTCTTTACAACTCTTTGCAACATTTAAGATGAAAAATTTTTAGTTTTTATCTTATGTTCTCAAAGATATATATATTATCTTATTAGTATTTTTCTATAAATGTCTATCAATTTCCATTAATAATACTTCTGAAAAGCTGTTCCCTTCTCCTGGTTGAGGCTTCCTTCTAGGCTAATGTTATTTCTTTCTAGACCCGGGAAGATAGGAAGGTTGAAGCCATCATGCATGCTTTTGAAAACTTAGAAAAAAGAAAGAAGCGGCGGGATCAGCCCTTGGAACAGAGCAACTCTGACATAGAGATTACTACCACCACCTCAGAGACTCCTGTGGGAGAGGAGACAAAAACTGAAGCCCCTGAACCTGAAGTTAGCAACCCTGCTTCAAACATTGCCATCCCAAGCAACCCACAGAGTGTTGGAGTGAACACCCGGAGGTCTTCCCAAGCAGGGGTAAGATGAAAAGACTCCAGGTCTTAGTCGGTCTTTCTTTTGCTAATATCAGTTACCTAGCTTTTGGAATGGTTAGTGTCAGCATTTTCAGCTTTGCCTTATTTCGCAGTAAGTAAGACTATTTTCAGTCAGCTGATTCGTGGGATTCAAGGAGACAGAATTTGAATGACTAGATACTCTCAGACTAGAATGGGACTTTCTACAATTTCTGCCAGATATTGTTGGTGGTGAGCTCATAAAAATCATGTGGTTTCTCTTTGGCTCTCTGTGTAGCACTGTCATGTACCTGACCTTTCATAGGATTCTCAGAATTAATTCTTCGTTCCTTTTCCTACCTTAGCCATAGATTCTAAGCCTTAAGCTAAAACTTTAGTATCTGGGGAAAGAGACAAAGGAAGAATTACCTTCCCTGCTAAGAACCTAAAATTAGGTGGCTACTTTCAGCTGACTTTAGACCTATTTTATAAATACTTATTAGAAAAAGAAATAACTGAGACATCTTCCTGTAGCCTTTTTAGCTGATTTAAATGTATAAATTTTATAAGGATTACATTTGAAATTATTGTTTTTAAATGCTCAGTTTTTTCACCAGTAAACATTCAGAGTGCTTAAAGTGAATAGGAAACTGGATAGAATGTTTGCTGATAAGAAATTTCTGGTAAGCAGTTAACTTTGCTATTGTTATAGGATGTTGCTGCCGAAAAACCAGTCCCCAAACCACCTCCAGCAAAGCCTTCTAGGCCCCGACCGAAGAGTCGAATTTCTCGGTACCGGACCAGTTCAGCCCAAAGACTAAAGCGTCAGAAGCAGGCCATTGCACAGCAGGCAGAGTTATCACAAGCTGCCTTGGAAGAGGGGGGAAATAACAGCTCAGTAACTCCTACTGAAGCTGGAAATGTAGACAGTTCAGGAGAAAACAGGCAATTAACAGGGTCTGACCCAACTGTGGTGTCAGTTACTGGATCCCATGTCAACCGTGCTGCATCTAAATACCCCAAAACCAAAAAGGTAAGTTACAAGTACATCTTCGTTAAGTGTAGTCTGCCGAAAGCTGTGGCTTAGTAAAGTGAAAGAACCTGTAATCCCCAGGGGAAAAAAAAATAATAATAATCTAAGAATTATTAGATTGAAAGTTTTAGATAAAATGCTTAGACACGTAGGGCTGAGGTCTTCCTGCTGCCTTACTTTTGTTCGCATAATTTTTAGGCAGAGTTTAAATTGCTGAGCTGAAATCATTCCTTCCATAGTGCTCATGGAGAGGGTGAAAGAAGATACCCTTGTGCTCTGAATGTGCGATTCATACTCTCTGCAGCTGCTATATCTACCTCTGTCTAGTTTCTAGATGAGGTTTGTGTTTGTGAGCTACACTGCTTCCTCTGGCTTTTGCATCTGCAGCATCAACTGATGGTCTCTTTTTTAACTTAGTATCTAGTTACAGAGTGGTTGAATGACAAAGCAGAGAAGCAAGAGTGCCCTGTTGAGTGCCCTTTACGTATCACCACGGACCCAACTGTACTGGCAACGACCCTGAACATGTTACCCGGTCTTATCCATTCCCCGTTAATTTGCACCACCCCCAAACACTACATTCGCTTTGGCTCACCCTTTATCCCTGAGAGGCGTCGAAGGCCGCTTCTGCCTGATGGCATGTTCAGCTCCTGTAAAAAGGTATGTCTGTGTTTACGCAGTTTTTTCTTTTAAGCTAGGATTCCAGTACTGGTGACATATCTAACACGTTCTCTAGATAGCCACACTCTGCCCGTATGAGTTTATAATGAGTTAGTAGTTCAACCACAAATACTGATGCATCAAGAGTCAGTGAGACTAAGGTGGGATGTATACTACATTTTTGGTGCTCAGTTTGTGAGTATACACTGTTGTCTTTTCTGAGAGCCCTTGAGGTTACTGAGTTGAGAGCACATAGCAGTTGGTGACTGGGTAGGGAGGGGTGTTCTGTGTGTGCTCCTGTGATATTGGTTAACATGTCCATTTGTGATTACTGTGTGAGATTGGGCCCCAGGTACTCTAGAGCACTGTTGCACAAGTTAAAGAATGATTGAATTGTGTTTTGGATTAATTCAGTCACTGTTATCATTTGACTGAGAGTAGAGGAAAAGTCCTGTTTACAATTGACATAATTCCTTTTCCTTGATCAAATGACAAGTTGGACTGTTTATTCCCTAGTGATTATGGAACCCACTATAAAATTTCTCTCTCTTTCTCTCTCTCTCTCTCTCTCTGCCTCTCTCTCGCTCTTCTCTAGTTATATATTGTTTTTGGATCTAGTGACAGTAGTATTTGATGGCTGTTTGTTTTTGGAATGCTCTTTCTTAGTTCCCAGAAGCCCTGCATATTTTCCAGAGGTGTCTCTCAAGAATAGATCACTCCCTCAGACCTATAATGTCATTTTCGTGTTTCTAGAAGTATAGGACACCCTTACATTTGGTCTTCTTTTGAGGTAGAGTCTGTTCCCTGGAACACCCTTTTCTCTTATCCTCAGATCTGGATTCAGGCTGCCTTCCTCAGTGTCTGCCATTGCCCTCCTCCACTGGCATCACGTACATGAGGATGCTGCATATAGATTATTTGATGTGATGAAGTCTCCAACTCCAGGCAGGTCTTCCCTGACTCCTCCAAACTTAAAGCTTTTCTCTTTTCCCAAAGAGCAGATACTATTTCTTGGGGGGAGGGGGCATAAAAGATGAGCCAAAGTGGTGTGGGATATGGAGGGGAGGAGGGCAACAGGGATCTGCACACAAAGGAAGGGTACTACCACTGAATGAGCAGCATACACTGAAGAAAGTCTTTTCCTAATCTTACCTAAGTGTTTGAGTCACTTACTGGTTTATTTAGGGGAAATTACCAAGTACAACAACTCCTAAAGAGAAATTTGACCATGAGATCTTTGCCAGAAGTGTTTGTGGATGATGGACTAACATAACTTTCAGGTGTCAGAAGTGAAAACAGTGACAACTTTCTTAAGAAGAAAATGAGACTAGAAATTTGCCTAAGTGATAAAGGAAAGTTGGGTCTCTGGGGATCTTATATTATACCAAGTTACTTATCCTAGATCTTAGAAATTACCTGAGAAGGAAAAAAAAGTATTTGCCATTTAAAGACCATTATGATTAACCTAATTCTGTAATAATTGGAGAAGGGCATTAACTGTGGTATGGCATGCGAAACTAATCTTCCTGTTACATTTAGCTCAGTCCCTCATTAAGAGTAACAGCTCAGAATCTTTAACTACATTTTCAGAGTAGTATTGAACAATTAGAGAAGCTGTAAATATGGTCTTTAGTTTGGAGGAACAAGTCAAGAGATGGCTTAATATATATATGAAATAGACTTTTTCCTTTTGTTCTGTCTTTGGCTAGACGCAGTACTAGATTTCCTAGGATGTTAACTACTGAAGCATCTTACCAAGTCAGATAATAGAATTTCTTATTTTGGTCCTTTAAGAAGGGTGAACAATTATTAATACAGAGTAATAGTGAAGTCTGAATTGTAAATAGTACGGACTAGCCTCTTAAAATACTGCCTTGATCATTGTGATGCTGGGTTATAATCTTTCTATTCCCATCTTGCTTTTTTCCAAGTAGCAGAGTTCTGTGAAAATGGAAAACCTGCAGAAATATGACTTCAAATCTGATAGAAAATCCATTTCTTAGAGCTCTTTTTACCTGGTTATGGTTTAGGACTTATATCTGTATCTCATCTTTGTGTCTCCATTGGCAACAGTTAGAAATACTTAACTCATGTCCGTGTTACATTCTCCACATGTATCTGACCATCCTTAGTCTTGTTTTATACAGGCTCTGCTCAGGCACTTTTATCTATTTGTGTTATATTGGTCTTTGGGAAGACCAAGGCTATGTATGCTGACTTATATATCAAATTATCTTACTTAAATTGGGTCTTTTAAAATTAAGTTTTAATCACAGATTTAATAGTTGCTGTTAATGTATCAAGATTATATTACACAACAAGACTGTAACTTTTTATGGGACAAAATTAATGAAATTGGGCCTTATATAGAAATTGAACTCAGCTTTATCCTAGATGGGGAAGGAGAAGATTTTTTAGATTGGTTAGAAAGTACTCATATAGTACAGGACCTAAGAAGATTTCCATGATAAAACAAAATTGTAATAAATTTCTGAAAATCCCTCAGAGAAGAATATAATTTAAACAGATGAAAACAACCATCCTCCATGGGATTAGTTAGAACAGTGTACATTCTTAATAGGCTTACTCTTTCATATCTGATTAAAGGAGGTAAAAGCTTCATAAGTTTAAAACAGTAAAAAGCTGCATGGGTATATTTGCACCCAGATTCTTATAGAGTATTTGGCAGAATGTTTTATGATGTCTCTGTAGTTTCTAAATTAAATCGATTCACAGTTCTTAACTAGCATGTTATAGCATGTCTTTTGTTGGATTTTACTTCACTTGTTATTTTAGAATGGAAGCATTTATTACTGGCTAAGAAGCCTTTCGGTAGTATCCCTGCTTGCTCTCTCTAAATCTCTAAACTTACCTTGTAGGCATAATATGTGTGGGCATTTGGTTTCCCGTTCAGACTGAAAATGAAACACTGTGTTTTGCATTGATATTTCATGATGTGCACTGGAGTGTTGTTAATCTGTATATCTCTGTACATAGCACTGAAATTCAGTTGAACTAGTCCTCACTGAACATGTGTGCCCAGTACTGTGCTACAAGCTTTCTTCACACACACTGTCTCACCATTCATGATAACCCTGTGAGGCTGGGATTATTGCTCCAATTTACAGATCCAGAAGCTTTGGCTCAGAAGCGTTCAGTAACTGGCCCAGAGTTAGGCGTCTAGTAAGAGACACAGCCAAGTTTCAATCCAGGTCTTTGGACCCTAAAACCCAAATTAATTCCTTTCTCTTTCCCCATCGTAATGAGACCCTTTAAGACATTTCTGTTGCCCATCTCTGAGCTTCCTAAAAACCTCTTCAACACAGACTTTCAGGGAAGGGAGAAATGTTCTTTTGACCTTAATAACTGTAGCTAGAACTTGGGGAGAGGGGTTGTCTAAAGTTAATTTACTATCTGTAGGGGTGATTGGGATTTGTTAGATACAAATAGCTGTTCATGTTCCTTCTTTACAGGCCCTGAAATATTGTGTAGACGTACATATAGGGCCAGGGAGGAATGGGTTTGATCATGTTGCTGTGTTCGACCTTAAGCTAACCAAAGCAGCATCTTATTCCTTAGAATGACCTTGTCCTGGTTTTACTTTCCCTTTTTGTAGTCATCAGATCCAGAGTGTAAGTTCTTTTATGGGTGCATCTATTTGACACTGGAAATATAAGAAATTGACTTCTCTAGGAAGAAAGCACAGTGACCCCAAATGAGTCCTGTCATCTGCTCTGATGAAAAACTTGTATGTAATAAGGTATCTATAACAAAGGATTTTCACTCTTTTTGGCCTCCTGGCCTTATTTTCCCCATCTGTATAATGAGTGCGTTAAGACAAGGTAACCTCTGAGGTCTCTTCTATGTAAGGAGCTATGGTTCTGACAGTTTTCATCTTTATATCAGTATTCTGTATGTAGGAGAGTAAGTTCATTTTTGGTCTTGTTTTGGCTTTTCAGAGACCTGATCAAATCCTAAAATGCTGATGTGATTCAATAGATGCTAAGCTGTCTTTCTTAGGTACTTACTCACTCTTTACCCCCTCATGTTCATAATTTTATTCTTGCTTTCATTGGGCAGACCACATGGTCTGGTTTCCTCACATTATTTCCTAAGTTTCTAAGAGGGTAAATCTATTAGAATTTCTCTCTTTGGTAAAGAGAATATTTACTTACCTGTAATATTGGTTTTCTAAAGGTGTAAAGTTATAATCACCTTTGCTCTTCCTATTTGGGATAGGGTCTGACTCAGAAATTGATGTTTATCAAAATTCGATCTGTCTTATGTCAGGGCAAGAGAGCCACAGAGTGGTGAGCAACCTACAACTGTGTATCTTAAGAGAACACAATTACAGGTAAGAAATTTTCTCTTCCACAGGATGCATAATCTTATTACGCTAATCTCTGCAGACTTACTTTCTGACAAAAATCTATTTCCATCATTTTAGATTCCATTATTCACAACAAAAAATGACTGATTAGAGAGCTCTTTTTTACTTTTTTTTGCCTTTTTGATTTCTGCAGAAGGTCATTTATTCAGGTGATGATTTGTATTATTCATGCATAATTTAACCAAACTACTTAACAAGGAGGGAAAACTCAGAGGATATTCTGAGAGTAGACTTTCTGGAAGCATTTCGGTACTTGTAGTGAAGAGCTCTTTATCCTCATCCAAAGTTTTCTTGTGAATCTTTTCGATTATTCAGATATGCCCAACACAGGGCAGACAACTCTTAAGAGATCTTTTATCTTCCTTCTATGCACTTATTTTATGTGCTAGTTTCATCCTGTGCGATCGGAGTCTCTCTTAAATAAATGCTAAGATTTCTTCCTTATCTTTTCCCATTTATCCCATTCTAAGCAATATGAAAAGTTAAATAGTAATCATTTTTTTTTATTGGTTTGGGCTTTTTTGTGGGACTTCATTATGTGTAATCCAGGTTTTCTCAGTTATGCCCCATAAAAGGAATTGATGGGGCACTATCCTAGAATGCTGAAACACAAGACAAAAACTACTTGACTGTGGACCCGAATGAATGCATTGTATTGCATCTCTCACCAGTTGATATGTAATGACCTGGTTAATGCATTTAAAATAGGTGACCTAAATAGTTTTAAATGATTATTGATAATTCCCTGGTTCTTTTCCCATTATAGCGCTGGATAAAGCAAGCCTTGGAAGAAGGGATGACCCAGACATCATCTGTACCCCAAGAGACTAGAACTCAGCACCTATACCAAAGTAATGAGAATAGTAATTCTTCTAGTATCTGCAAAGACAATGCAGGTATGTGTGGCAGGCCTTTCTGAATACATGAGCAATGATTATTTTGGGTCTACATAAAAAATTTCACTGAGTACTTTAAAAAGTCTGATACAAAAAAAAAGAAATAGCATTTTTCTCTAAATAGTTACTTTACATCTGTCTTTACAGAGGAAGAGAGAGATCTCAAGTCAGGGATCAGTATTCCCAGGACGACAAAGAAGGAACTAGACAGTGTACAGATAACAGCAGAAATGGTTAAAAAAAGGTTAGATACATTTAAAGTAGTAAGTTTAGGAAATCTATATCCATATTTATAAGAGGGGAAATAAGCAAGAAAGATGCGGGGCACAATTCAGGAGAGAGTCAAAATCGTAGGTGATTGAGTTGGGTGGGACTTGGTTGAAGGGGCAGGGGATGAGTGAAGCAAATAAGAAATTATTATGAATTGGTTGTTTTCAAACTGGAGGGTCATGTAAAATCATCTGGCCCACTGGTTTTCCAGTGACTCTTGCAGGGGTTTTAATTGAATTGCAGTTGAAAGCACTGGTGTATGGACTTGATACCAACTTAACTTATTTTGGGATAGTCTTATTACTGGTTTCTCTTGGCCAGTATTACTTTAATTGAAAAGTTCTGTGTGATTCCTCTTAGTTTATTTATCTGTAAATCAATTTTGTGAATATTATGCAATCAAAACAAAATACCAAAATAAATAAGATGCTAAAAGTCACATAGTAATATTTCCGATTTTCATAAAAACCACTTCTTTGTTTCTGTTTATTGTCTGAGTAAATATGAACTTGAATTAAATAAAGAGATTTGTACTAGGAATATCTGCTTTATATTAAAACTTTGTGTAATACTGTATTTGGGGGAAAAATAGGCTACTAAAAACAGATTTTTTTAAAATTATTGACTTTGTTTTTCTATCCCTAGATTGGATTATACCTTGTAAGTTATCGCATGTGTAACCTCAGGATAATAAGATCCCAGTGTAGAACATCTGGAAGATAAATGATACCATGTATTTAAAATATCTTATTCTCTTCACCAAATATTAGGGAGATTTACTCAAACCAGGTTAACATAAAGAAATGCTGGTAAAAGATTTCCGTCAATATTATCAGTTTATTGGCAGCTTTTACAGTACGGTGAGAGTATAACTTAACTGAAATCTTCTATCTAGTATACACACATATGTATGTGTATGGTGTGTGTGTGTGTGTGTGTGTGTGTGTGTGTGTGTGTGTATTTGAGGATGGGAAAGGGAGGCTGTATTAGCAATTCATGTCCTGACTGGCAAAGACTCATAGGGAAAGATGCCTTTGTTATTACGTGCCCTGGTTGGAATGGAATTAGGACTGTTAGTCACCAATCTTTATTGAACTTCTCTCGTCTCTAGCAGTGAGAAACATTCAGAGGACACACCTTGCCCTTCAGGAACAACGTAAACGGGAAAATATTTAATTACAACCAAGCAGGGCTTCCCTGGTGGCGCAGTGGTTGAGAGTCCGCCTGCCGATGCAGGGGACACGGGTTCGTGCCCCGGTCCGGGAAGATCCCACATGCCGCGGAGGCTGGGCCCGTGAGCCATGGCTGCTGAGCCTGCGTGTCCGGAGCCTGTGCTCCGCAACGGGAGAGGCCACAACAGTGAGAAGCCCACGTACCGCAAAAAAAAAAAAAAAAAATACAAGCAATACTCAAATGAGTGACTTGGTATATTGCTACAAGTTAGTGTAAATCCTGAGGAATTATTTTTATTTGGTTTCTTTGGTTTTGTTTTTTTCCTCTCAAAAAGATCAAGAAAATATTAATCAAGAAAGGGAAAAAAGAAAACAAAAAGGGATACAAATTGGTGTAGTAGAAAAAATCCAACAGACCTGAGTTTGAAGACCATCTCTACCCTTTACTAACTATATGATGTTGGGCAAGTTATAAAGTTATCTCTGAGCCTCATCTGTGAAATGGGTATAGTAATATCTGCTTTGTAGAGGTAATATGAGATTAAATTAAGGTACATAAATTACCGTATCAGACCCTTAATAGGAATTATTATTGTCATTATCTACAGATTTCTTGTCGAACATCTATGGAACATTTACAGAAATTAGTCATATACTAGGATACATTAAAGATTCTAAGTTCCTAGAAGCTAAAGTTGTATGGAAATAAATGGTATTACTCTTCAGGCAGGGGAGGACATAATGTTCATTATTTGTAAATGATGTGGATATCTATCTAGGAGAGCCTAGACAATCATTTGAAAAAATTAACAGGAGTTCAACAAAACTGCTGGATATGCAAAAATTAATACCATTTATGTACCAAGAAAATGAAGAAAAATTTTTCATTGCCAAACTTAACAGAACTGAGAAACTGCCTAGGAATAATGGTAGGGACATGTAAAGCAAATCATTACTGAGAAATATTTTTTTAAGTCTTGAGGAAATGAAGGGAACTCCCATACTGATTAATGGAAAGAAGAAATATAATGAGTCAGTTTCTTTCCTGGCTTCAGATAGTTTCCATCAAACTAGTTTGTTTGGGGGTTTGATTAAATGATCTTGGAAGTTTATCATAAAAAGCAAACATGAAAATAAGAAAAAATTGAAAGAGTAATGACAAAGAAGTACTTTACCTAGAAGTGTAAAACTAACTTCTATTATGAATCTAGAAGCTGGTAATTAGTACAGGTGCAATAATGGATGTATATATGGAACAGAATAGCCAGAAGCAGGCCTTATGTAAGTGAAAGATTTGGTAAATTATTCTGGAATTTTTACTTGCATGGGGGATGAGAAAGACTTAGATCTTTGCCAAAGTAAATTCTATGTGCATTCAGTGTTTGGGGTTTTGTTTTTGTTTTTGCGGTACGCGGGCCTCTCACTGTTGTGGCCTCTCCCGTTGCGGAGCACAGGCTCCGGACGGGCAGGCTCAGCGGCCATGGCTCACGGGCCTAGCCACTCCACGGCATGTGGGATATTCCCAGACCAGGTCACGAACCCGTGTACCCTGCATCGGCAGGCGGACTCTCAACCGCCGCGCCACCAGGGAAGCCCCCATGTTTTTAAATTAAAGTTAAATAAACAATGTTTCTATGTCCTTAGTTCTCTGAATTAATAGAGGACAAAAATATTGGGAGAAAGGATTTGCAACAAAAATGACAGGGAAGGGCTTCCCTGGTGGCGCAGCGGTTGAGAGTCCGCCTGCCGATGCAGGGGACACGGGTTCGTGTCCCGGTCCGGGAAGATCCCACACACCGCGGAGTGGCTGGGCCCGTGAGCCATGGCTGCTGAGCCTGCGCGCCCGGAGCCTGTGCTCCGCAATGGGAGAGGCAACAACAGTGAGGGGCCCACGAACCGCAAAAAAAAAAAAAAAAAAAAAAAATATATATATATATATATGACAGGGAAGTAATACCCCTACTAGCAATTTGGTAAGATTTATCATGCATTTTATTTTTTTAGTTTATTTATTTTTTTTGGCTGCATTGGATCTTTGTTGCTGTGCACAGGCTTTTCTCTAGTTGCGGCAAGTGGGAGCTACTCTTCCTTGCAGTGCGCAGTTTCTCATTGCGGTGGCTTCTCTTGTTGCAGAGCACAGGCTCTAGGCGTGTGGGCTCAGTAGTTGTGGCTCCCGGGCTCTAGAGCGCAGGCTCAGTAGTTGTGGCGCACAGGTTTAGTTGCTCCGTGGCATGTGGGATCTTCCCGGACCAGGGCTCAAACCTGTGTCCCCTGCATTGGCAGGTGGATTCTTAACCACTGCACCACCAGGGAAGTCCCTGTCATGCATTTTAAAAATTCATTCCTTAACCTGGTAGTTGTTGTTCTAGGTACTTGTTCTGTAGAAATAGGTGTGGACCAAAATTTTTATACGAAGTGTTAGTCATGGAATTATTAATTGCAAACACATGCAGGATAAAAACAACCTGGGTTTCAACAAATAAAGAAATGTTAGAATTTGTGGTTTATCTTCTATTACACATACTTTTGGTGGAATACTATAGGGTAGCATTAAATTTGTTGCTCTATTTTATCAAATTAACCTCCAAAAAATAGCACAGTACTACTTTTGAATTAGATTTCACTGATCTGAATCTTGAATCTGTAAGAATATTAAAAGAATAGTATATTATGATGAAATAAAATTTTTCCGTGGAATGTAAAGGTGGTTGGTTCAGTATTTGAAATTTTATTCATATAATTTATTAGCCAGCCAAATGGAGAAGGGGGAGTAATAGCACAGTAACTGTGAATTTAATGATAAATCTAATAACATACTGAATGATTTTTTATTTTACATCTATCTGAAAACAATTGCCAGTTATGTTTCCTGGTGAAAACTAGTTAGACTAAACTTTTAAATTGGTTATCAACTTATCCCAGTATTACCATTCTTATATAACAACATCTAGAATTGTTACCCAAACTGATTACCAAAAAGAAAATCTATGAGATAAAAGTTTTGGTAAAGAGGATGTATTTGTTGCCATTGTATACAAATAATATGCTGCTCTACCTGGAAAAGCCAAGAGAATTAACTGAAAAACTGGTAGAGATCAATAGGGTAGCTGGGTACAAAAATATGTAAACATTTTCTTACATGTTAGCAATAACATTTAGGTAATACACAGGGAGAAATACATCCAGTTCACAGTGGTAACAGAAGATAGTGAACACTGGAGAATAAACCTAATTAGAAATGTGGCAGATCTATAATGAAGAGGAATATAAGGAATTCCTTGGCGGTCCAGTGGTTAGAACTCCACACTCTCACAGCTGCGGGCCTGGGTTCAATACCTAGTCAGGGAACTAAGATCCCACAAGCTGCGCAGCGGAGCCAAAATAATAATAATAATGAGGAGGAGGAATATAAATGAAGGCATGAGTAGCTAAAAGATCGTGCCACGGTGCTCAGTTAGAATTCTTGACAAATTACTCATGAATTTAATACAACCCCAGTCAGCCTTGGGGAGGGGGTAGTATCAGCATAGTGTTTGTTAGTTTGTTTTAAAGTTGTTTGTTTTTTGATGTGGACCATTTCTAAAGTCTTTATTGAATTTGTTACAATATTGTTTCTGCTCTATGTTTTGGTTTTTTGGCCGTGAGGCATGTGGGATCCCAGCTCCCTGACCAGGGATCGAACCCGCACCCTCTGCATTGGAAGGCAAAGTCCCAACCACTGGACTGCAGGGAAGTCCCAGTATCAGCATAGTTGACAACTGATTTCTACAGTTCATTGACATGAACAAGTGTGCTAGAATAGGCAAAATATTTTGGAGAGCTAGAGTAGAATAACTGGAATTGCCCAAACAATTTTACTAAAAAGTGTACAGAATAACATTCAGAACTAAACCCAGTATCTAGTCGGAAAAATGTCATATTTCAAATCAATAGAGAAATATGATTATTCTGTAATTACAAAAGAATTTGGAAGAATATGCTAGCCATTTGGCCTGTGAAAAGGATAGAACATACTAGTACCCAAACTACTATATGTTCTGAGTTGAATTCAAAAATTAAACATGGAGATAAAGGGAAAATTCGTCAGTATTTTTATTGTCTTGGGGTGGGGTGACAAAAACATGACATCAGAGGCAGAAAATAAAGGAAATGGTTGATATATTTGACTAAATAAAAATATAAAACATTGTGTAGCCCAAGACTATTAATAAAATTAAAATATAATTGTAACATTTTTGTCATTGTAATGGAAGGATTTTTACTATGTATTTCTGATTGAAAATAGTAGGTTATTGTCCAGTGTGATTTAGACAGGGTGAGTAAGGACATGTCAGGAAAGAGTTCTAGATGAAAATACACCAGCATATTAACAATGAATTAATTTGTGGATATGATTTCAAGTTATGTATATGTTTCAATATGTGGGTGTTTTTTTAGATAACGTTGGGAATTATTTGAGTAAAGGTAAAAAACCATAAAAGATAGGTTTAACCACATGAAATTTGATAGCTGTGTATGGCAAAAAGAAGAAAAATGAAACTTGAAAAAAACAATTTTGTAAATATAGTGCCGTTCATAGAAAAAAGTACGCAGATTACCACTGGCCCATAAACTTCATGAGGGCAGGTGTCAGGTCTCTTGTTGAATATATCATAATAAGTACTCAGTAAATATATTTTAAATGAATGACCTTTAAGTTGATTTGGGGGGTGGGAGAGTTCATCTGAACTTTATAACTTTTCTACAATCAACTTTATCACTTACATAATTACCTTTAGTAGTTACAGCGTTGGACCTAGCAGTATAGCAGTCTTTTGAAAGATTCACTGTTTAAGACTCTCAAAATATATAAACCTAACTATAAGTCATGAATCACATGTTTGTTTGTTTATACCTAGGCACTTTTCAAAAGGAGAAAAGAAAAATGAGTATCTGGAACAGAAGGAAAATAGAAATATACTTCTAATCTAGGAAATTTTTTTAATTTTTATATATATGAAAGGAGAAATATGTATCTCCAGTGTTTTTTGCTTTTATTTCTTGTCTCTGCTTCAACCTCTACTGCCCTAGTTCAAGCCTCATAACTCTTTCTGTTTACTTCAATAACTCCAAATAGTTTCCCAGTGTCCATTCTCATCCTAACCATTGCTACCAGGAGAATCTTTCTCAAGCACAGCTCTGATTACTGTCCGAAAACTTTTCCTCAAAGACTTGGGGTAAATGTCACTCCTTCCACCAAGCCTTGGGGGTATAATTTAACCTAATGATTAAGAATGTAGATGGGAACCAGGTGACCTAGTCTTTCTCTCTTTATACATCAAATTCCTTATCTGTAAAGTGGGGATAATAATAGTACTGGGTTTATAGAGTTACTCAAATTACATCTGATAATTCACATAAAGCACGTAGTATAGTGCCTGGTGCGTAATAAGCACTTAAAAGCATATTTTTTTTTTTTTTTTTTACTAACATAGCAGTATGATCACCTCTGTTGAGGTTCTTAAACTTATATTACACATTTTATATATGTTTTCTTTTTCTTACACATTTGTAAACTCATTTAAAATAGAATACATGATAACCATTTTCCCCCACTTACCTGATTCAGTGGTTTCCATATTGTAGGTATTTAGTAAATGAATAGCTTTGAACTGTAAACGAATAAAAATAGATTTTTCCTTTGAGAAAGTGAGACAGGTGCATTGGCCTGAGTGGTCAGTAAAATTTATAGTATATTAACTTCCTTTCTAAGTGGAACTAAGAAGTGTACAGTAGAAAGTAGGATATTCCAATCAGAAAAAGAGTACCACCCTACTTTTTGAAAATGATTGGGAGAAGTTTCTGTAGAAATGATTTCACACTTTGAAGCACTATAAAACTAAGGGCTCAACAAGGATCAACTAATCATGTGTAACTCTTTCCTACTAAAACAGAATATTACATAAAGAGCTGCTAAAGAATGGCAAAAATACATAAAAGCTTGAAACTGAGCTGGTGACGTGGCAATTCAGTAGAGGGTGATTTTAGCAAAGAGATTAGAGATGTTCAGAAATTCAGTGTGAAAAAACTAAATTTATATTTTCCACTACAAGAGATTAAATTAGCTCCAGGGATTAGTTATCAGAAGGGTCAAATTCATCTGGTGATTTTCTGGGAGGTAGAGAATTTTGAGAATTACTTTAAGTGTGACAATTAAAAAGTCTTTGGGCTTTTGGTTTGATTGCAGGAGATAACAATGGGATGAGGCAAAAGTGGAGTTACCAGCCATTGTGGGCTAGAGATTAATAATGGCTTCACTATGAAGCAGCCGTTGAGGATGTAATTTCAGACCTCTCATCCAAGCTTTGTATTTCACAGACTTGTTGAGCCCATTAAAGAAATGGAAATCTCGCTATCTGATGGAGCAGAATGTTACCAAGTTACTGCGGCCTCTTTCTCCAGTCACACCACCCCCTCCCAATCCAGGCTCAAAGAGCCCCCAGCTGACCACACCTGGCCCATCTCACCCAGAAGAGGAGTGTCGAAATGGATACAGCCTCATGTTCTCACCAGTCACGTCTCTTACTACTGCTAGTCGCTGCAATACTCCTCTGCAATTTGAGGTGATTTGGGTTTGGTTGTTGGGAGTGCTGAATATGAAAATCATTATTTGCACCTCCTCATTTCAAATACATCACTCCAAATGTTTCTTTACCATGTTCTTCGCCCATCTTAGCAAGAGAATGGGAAACCTCAGGGTCATTGTGACCTATTACCTGGTAGCCTCTCATCTTGGCAGTCCCCATACTTCCCAAAATAGGAATAGTGCTCCCACAGGTGACACTCATCTTATCTTTTGCATGCAATTCATCAACCTCCATTACTTTAGGTGGTAATCGTGCTAGATCTTTATCTTTACTGTATACCTTGGTTAAAATAGGCCTCTAGCTGCTTAGTAACCATTAATGACACCTGCCTGAGAGCTCAGGTTATACTGATTGGTTGTGCCTCCATTTCTAGGCCTTTAAATAAGTGAAGTGTCTGTTATTTTGCATTCTGTTATTTTGCATTCTCGTGTGCCTAAGTAAACAGATTTAGAAAGCACTGAGGTATGGTTTATGGCAATTTAGGGGTTTTTTTCATTCCCAGATTACTTTTCCTTCTCCTCATGTGTTAGGAATGAGAAGTAGAAAGAGCCTAGTAACATGCATTTATAAGAACCAGATTTATTACACTCGCTCTCTGGTCAGCTGTTTCAAAAACTTCTGAATTGCTTTAGTATTCAAGTTTGAGTGACGGCAGCTTTACTGAATAGAATCCGTGTGCGTGCGTTAAAAAAAAAAACTCATCTATCGCATGTTGCTTTGATTTATAATTAAACAGACACTATCTATTCCTTCTCAGAAAAATTTGTTCTGATGACTAAACACTCAGCTCTGACCCTACCTTGCACTTTTCCAGATGTGTTCTTTGATAAAGGTGAATGTTCTAATCAGTGCCATCCTACCTATTCAGTTTTTATGAGAGCATGGAGATTTAAAAGACCTGAACCTTTAAATGACTAACTCAGAAAGAGGAAACTTAGCAACCTTGAAAGTAAGAGACAGCTGTATTCTGTACCTGAACTCGACCATATTAACTTACTTTTGGAGCAAACCTTTTTGAGAAGGCGAACAGAACCTTCTGGTTACATTTGATTTCTAGGGAAGTTACCCTTTACCACATTCCCTGTGGCGTTCTTTTTAGTCAGATAGCAAAACAGCTGATATGGGCCTTACTAACTTTACTTGGATCTAACTGCAGTTGATTTTTCATTTAGCAGCCAAAGTTTGATGGTAAAATTTCGTGAGAGGACGTTCTCACTGGGAGGCAGTAGATTCTAGGAGTAGAATTTCATACTTTATTATAATTAAAGGTGAAATTAGAAGGTGGGTTGCCATCTAGAACAGCCGGGTTTAGCACTCAGTGTATTTCCTACCCCTTGCAGCGTTTTGGATAACTGAAATTCTATGCAAATGTAAGGTGTTTTTATTTTCTATTTTTTTAAATCAGAGATCATTTTAGTGATGCGTAGTCTAAGCATAATGTTAGGATACCAGGAGGGAAAGAAAACATAATACATTAAGTAGCCTATCCTTTCAAAAAGTTCAGTGCATGTTTTCACTGTTTTAGTCTCATGATTTAACTAAGAAAATTTGGCCTTTTTCATCAATTCAAAAAACAGATTTCATCATCCCAACCATCTTTATCACCATTTTAATTGCTATACTCTTTCCTATATTCTAGTATGGGGAGGTGGGGAGCCTTATTTCCATCCAAGACTATGACACAGAGAAATAGCAGAAAGGTGTCACAAGTAAAGATCAGCTTGGTTGGGGGAAGAATATTTTTGAAAGGAGGAAAGTGAGAAATGCTAAGGGAATGAGTTGAAAAGACATGTAGTAGAAGAGAAGCAAGATCATGAGGAAAGGGAAGCATCAAAAAAAAAGTGAAAGCAACATTGAGAGGCCAAGTTTAATGAACCCCTCCTTTCCAGCAGAATAACGCTTCCCTTGTCTTCCTGCCTGGAGAGCCATACCCCACTATCCATCTCGCACATACTACCACCCCACCAAATAAAGTGAACACCAGTACCCCTGCTCTGCTAAAACAGCCTCATTTCCTGCCCCAGGATGGGCCAGCCACCCAGGCCACAGCTGTCCAGAGCCTGTGATATTAGAGGCCCTCCCCTACCTTGCCCCTGAATCCTTGTCACAGCTAGCACTGTCGTTCTCTGCTTTTTACCCTTCATACCTTCCCATCTGAACTTACTGCCCAGTTCCTGTTTCATACGGGAGTGCTGCCTCATGCAAAAGCCACCCTAATGGTAGCCCTGTTTAGGACCAGAGACTGGAAGTGTACACATCTGCCGTTTTTTTTTTTTCTTTTCTTTTTTCCCTCTATTCCTCAAAGTACAGTGGATTTTAATATCAGAAGAACCTTAGTGGGGGTGGTCAGATCCAGTTGGATTATGTTAAGAACCATCTAGGCTATGAGCTAGAGAATCCATCAATCATAACTTCTGCAACTGTCATTCAAGAGGAACTGGCCATCTTCCTAGCCCTGTCAGCCCCCAACATGCTAAGCAGTTTCCCTGGGTAATGGTGGCAGGCCTGAGTCACACAGGAGAATTGAGGAAATGTGACATTCAGAATAGGGTGTGGGGTGAAGAGAAAAGGTGCCCCTAAGCATGAGGAATGAGTGGTAGGGTGCCCCTCAATAACAAGTACTGTAGGAAATCTCTTCTAACATAGAAAGACATATACTGTAATAGTGTAAAATCTTACCAATTTAACTCTTGGTATCTGCTTGAGATGTTTACTTACAGCATGATACATAACCAGTTTATCCTTAAATGCTTTCAAAGACGCCAGGAAGCATTTTAACAAGTCATTCTGTCCATCGAGATGAATTCTGCATTTGAACATTTCCCTTGTGCCTTCTTACCCTTCTCCCTGCCCCACCCCCCAAAATTTGTGGCTAACCATCTATGCTTGCTTTTTTTTGCTTTATTTTTTGTTTGTTTTGTTTTGCTTCTTTGAGTAGATGAATAACAAGATGCTTTTCCTCCTCTAGAACATATCCTCCCCTGAGAGTTCCCCTGCGAATAGGCCCGAGTCCCTGTCACCCGAGGTAGTTATCACACCATCTCAATCACACTTGGAGGCTGAGAGTGAGTGTGCATGAGTGTGCTCCTGCCTGTGCGGGGAGGGCTGGGGGATCTGAGTGAATGGGGTGATGGGCTGGAGGGTGGCCGATTGGTCACTGTAAGTTGAATGAATCTTCCCATGTGTGCCTGTGGTTACTCAGAACTCTCAATGTAGATGGAGGAAAATGAAGTAGTTGTGTGTGTGTGTGTGGTGGGTTTGTTTTTGTTGTTTTGGGGGGGTGGGGGGGAAGGGTATGGCTGAAGAGTTTTCTTAAAGAATAGAATCTAGAAATCAAGTTTAAAGGAGCTGAAGATGCGGTGGGAACCTTGTTAAAGAAAGTCTAACAGTGTGTTTGTTAAATAAGGAGGGTTATATCAACAGTTGGTAGGAGCTGTTTTTTGATCTTTATTATCTTGGGCTGATAAAGGAGCAGCTTATATTGGAAAAGTTAGGCAGTGATTTATGCCTTATTCCCGGGTTAATCTGACAGCTGTTTAACTGGATGTTCTGAGCTTTGGTTGATAGATTAAGCAGCTTCTTTAGAAAGAGTCATGCCTCTCAGCTTAAGTCAGCCCATGGCTTCTGTGACTCAGGGCTCCATTCTGCAGTGCTTGGGAAATGGTTGCTGTACAAATGGTATCTCTTAGAATATCAAATCCTACTGCTATGGAGATGTTAAATTCAGATTTTAGTGCTAGAGTTTCTTAACTGTTAAAAGATTCGGACAAACGTAGTAATGATTAACTCCATGAATCCACATGGAGCCTTTTTCCTCTTAAAGAGAAAGTTATAGTCTCTCATAACCTTTCAGAAATTAACTAAACTGTTAACCCCACACCCTTCCAGTAAAAAGTTAGTGCTAAAATCAGTGACAGGTGACCAAATTCTGAATCAGTAGGATTTTATAGATCAATGTGAAACTGAAGAAGATTGTATTCTAGTGTACTAGAGGTCTTCTGGGTGTTTTTTACTCTATTTTGTAAGGAATGTAAAGCTCTCCCTCAGTTGCTAAAGATTCTAAGATAGCATAATTTGGAGGCTGACATGGTGTGTCATCTGGGTTTCTGGTACTATTCTTTCTAGAGAGTTAGCTATAGCTGACACAGTGGCAGAAAATCTTGGTGTTAGGAGGTAATGATGACCAAGTAGATGGGTTTATTTTTGGTACGTTTCAGCATTTCAGATGCTCTGCAGTGATGAGCATTAGTGGTCTTGTGGTATGTTAACATACGTTAGAGGATGCAAAAAGAAGAATTGAGTGGCCAGAAAGTTTTATGAGAAATACATACTTAATAGTGAAAGTGAGTGAAGAACTGGTTGGTTGATGTCGTTAACTAATACCATTCTTCTTTCCTGAACCAGTAACTTAAATACTTGACTTTTCGTCTACTTTCTACTTTCTTTCACCCTTTTCCCTCCTCCCACCTTCCATCAATATTAGTTTAGAAATGAATAACACCAGAAGCCAGTTATCTTAAGACACTATTCTCACCTCTGTGGCTCCATGGGGCTCAGGTAATCCCTAATTATACTGCCAGTCCCTGAATGTAGTGCAAGGTGACTCAGCAAACCTGATGAAAGGCTAAGCAGGCAAAATAGTCACATTTGGCCAGTTATCTAATTCTGACTTTCCCAGTATTCTCCTCCAGAAAGACTTTAAAACAATTTGGGGAAGGCCAGGATTCTTTGGTAATCTGGCGTGTATACACTGGTATTACATGGGACCTTTACAGATGTTAATGGCTTTCTCTCTTCTGCTTTCGTCCCTCTTACCTATTCTTATTCACCTGTGCCCCCTCACTTCCCTTCTTTTCTGCCCTTTGACTTTTTCCTTTCTCCTCTACCCCATGTCTCCGTTGATTTTTATTCTTTCAGCTTTGTCACCGAAAAGACCTGGACTTGACAAAAGTAGGCTACCTTGACTCCAACACTAACAGCTGTGCTGACAGACCTTCCCTGATAAGCTCGGGTCATTCTGACCTGGCTCCTCATCCCTCTGTCGGACCCACCTCTGAGACTGGCTTTACAAGCAGGAGTGGAGATGGACATCAGACCCTTGTGAGAAACTCGGACCAGACATTTCGGACAGAGTTTAACTTGATGTATGCCTACTCCCCATTGAACGCTATGCCTCGAGCAGATGGATTGTATCGAGGGTCTCCCCTAGTAGGGGATAGGAAGCCTTTACATTTGGATGGGGGCTATTGTTCCCCTGCAGAAGGGTTTCCCAGCAGATATGAGCATGGTTTTATGAAAGACCTCTCTCGTGGATCCATGTCACCTGGTGGCGAAAGGGCTTGTGAGGGAGTCCCATCTGCCCCCCAGAACCCACCACAGAGGAAAAAGGTAAGTGTTTCACATTTTATAGGCTCTTTTGAAGAACTTTAACTGAATAATTCAACAGATATTTACTGAGTTACCACTGTGTTTTCAGCACTGTTCTCAGTGTGAGGAAAATGAAGATAAGTAAGACAGTCTCTTGGCATGTCTAGTGAAAGACTGTTTTAATATAATTTGATGAGTGTTGTAAATGTTAAGCAAATTCAAATGCCTACCATGTATGTGCCATACACGTGGGTAGGCAATTCAAAGGATAAAGCAGTGAAAAAGAATAATGCTACTTACATGTTTTATATAGTACTTTTCATGTTCTAGGCACTGTTAAGCTCTTCTTATGCATTTAACCTCACAATAATCCTGTAAGATGGGTAATTTCCCATTTTGTAGATGATGAAACTAAGGCAAGTTGAGTAACTTGCCATGGTCACACAGCTAGTATATGGAAGAGCCAGGACACTACCCAGGTCTGTCTGATTCCAGATTGCATGCTCTGATTGCCACCGTGCTATATTGCCTCCTAGGTTCCGCTCTAATGGAGCTTATGGCAAGTCAGACTGAGCTTAGCAGATAATTGTACTAATGATGAGAAAGGAGTTGTTCAGATGTGATGAGAACAACTTAACTGACCAAGTCGGATATGTGGAGGGTACTTGAGAACAAACAAGAGGTTCATAGCCAAGTTTGAGGGGTGGTAGAGTGCAAGGTGACAGGTCACTGATTTGTCTCATCTCAAAACAGGAAGTAGGAATCAATCAGCCAACAAATTGAGGGGGTGAAGATCTTACAGAAGAGAGAGCAGAACAAGTAACTGTGACACTCCATTGAGTGGGCAGCAGGGATGTGATGTGGTTGCAGTTGAATGTTGCTATGGTGGCAGGTGAATAGTGGGGATAGTCAGGAGGAGAATACAGAGGTGGGCAGGGCCAGGTCGCAGAGATCTGGTTTGGGGCTTGACTTGTAGGTGATGCCTGGTCTATAAATTACAAAGCCAAAAGTGTGCTTTTTTTATGTCAGTGGTTTTCAACTAAGGGCATTTGGAAATGCATAGGAGTATTTTGAGTTGTCACAGCAACTTCCATTTACTGGTCAGAGCTAGAGGTGTTTAATGTTGTGTGTGTATGTGACAGTCTCACATAATTGCAAAATGTCTGTGGTACTCTTGTTCAAATGTAGCCTAGTGGCTTTTTGTCTTTGCATTACAGTGAAATACGTTAACAGAATTTATTATTAACCCCTTTCCATGATTGTCTGTAGAAAATGCATACACAAAATTGTCTTAATTTGTGTTTTCATTATATTTTACATTTGAACAGATAAATGAGAGCCCTAAGTGGATAAAAGAAGGAGGAAACACTGGCAGATAATTTGTAACAAAATAGCATTGCGGGGAAAATTCCCTGGTGGTCCGGTGGTTAGGACACCGTGCTTTCACTACGGATCCAACCCTGGTTGGGGAACAAAGATCCCACATGCTGCGAGGCGCAGCCAAAAAAAAATAGCACTGGGTTTAGAATACTGTTGCATCAACAGCACTGACTAGCAGGAACAAAAGTGGAAACAGTCTTTGGATTTCTGGTTTCATTTATTATGTGCAAAAGTGATTGAAATCATGGTTTCATTTATTATGTGCAGAAGTGATTGAAATCATGCCGTCTTTGAAATCATGACCTGTTATTTCAGAAATATTGTTGAGCACCTGCTATCAACCAAGTTCTGCACTGTATGTTAAAGATAAAAAGCCAAATAAGCTTGGTCTTTGCCCTTGTAGAACATGACAGTTTACAAGCATACAAGACATTGTAATAGGTAGACAGGCAGTGTAAGCACTGTGTGCTGTAACAGCAGAGAGGAGGTGTACTAGGCAGGGCAGGGAGGAGGGTTTTGTTGTGGCCGTCAGGAAAGAATAAGGCAGAGGAATGGCAGATCGAGGAGAAGTTTCCAAGTACGGGCTTTCTAGAGCTGGCTTGCTAAAATATAAACAGGAAATCATTTCCTTTCTCCTTTTACACTAGTTTCTCTATGTGTAAAACAGTAACATTAATAAATCCCTGGATATATCTTGAAAATGTGAGCATATTTAAAAACACTGAAGCATTGGCTTTTTCTTTTTGTTTGTGTGTGTGTGTGTGTGTGTGTGTTTCGTTTTGTTTTTTTAAACAACTAACTAGGGATTTCTGGGGAGTGAGGAAGAGCTATCAGAATCACCTAGGAGACTTTTTCAAACTACACAGACTCCCAGCTCTTCACCTTCCCTTTTCTGGGTGCTACCGTTGTTCCAAATAGCTATGATAGCACACTTTTATTGAAGGGAACTGTAATCTCACAGGTTTTTCTGAAGGCAGAATAAAGGTTGAGGTCTACTGGTGAATACCATTTTTCAAAAATGCCATCTCCTAGTATATTCTCTTTTCCTTACCAGTTTCTGACTGATTTAAATAAGTAGCTGTGCTCAGGTCTCTCTCACATTGGAAAAAGTCACCTGTTGGTGCCTGCTTTGTTTGCATGGCTTGCTAGCAGTTTACTAGGATTCCATCTTCTCTCCCCATTGCTAGTGATCCACTAATGATGTCTAGCTAGGGTCCTATTTCTTTTTTCCTTCCTAGGTATCCCTGCTGGAGTACCGCAAACGGAAACAGGAAGCCAAGGAAAATTCTGCTGGTGGGGGAGGTGACTCTACACAGAGCAAAAGCAAGTCTGCAGGAGCTGGGCAAGGCAGCAGTAACTCACTTTCTGACACTGGTGCCCATGGTGTGCAGGGATCCTCAGCCCGAACCCCATCTTCCCCTCACAAAAAGTTCTCCCCATCTCATTCCTCTATGTCTCATTTGGAGGCCGTAAGCCCATCGGATTCCAGAGGCACTTCATCTCACTGCAGACCTCAAGAGAGTATCAGCAGTAGGTGGTAAGTTTATGTTCGATGCTTTTTAATGATTAAATTCAGGAGGGAAGTAAACATCTAGGCTCTTTACCTAAGATGTATGGAAACACTTATCTGAGAAAGCCAGCCAACAGTGCTATCTACCCTATTCAGCTGATTTAATAGTATCAGCCACAATCCACCAGCCCTACAGAAGCAAAGAATTGCCACCGAGCCTGCAAAACACCATGTTGGATGGCATATAGCTGTGGACACAGTGGAGTTATTTTTTTTGCTGGGCACTAACACTGCCTCTTCTATTTTCTCATTTCGTGTGAAAGGTAAGTCAGGATTTGAGCTCAGTTCCCCTTAAATTAACAACAGATATCTCAGTTCCACACGGCTAGAATATACAGAGAGATGTGACACGTTCTGAAAGGATTTGTCTGGTTTAGGGGACAACGCAAATAAATAATACTAATGTCAAGTACTGAGTATCAAATGAGTGAAATAAAGAATGAGGCATTTTAGGGATCTTGAACTGAAGAAATGAGGTCTGAGAAAGGAGAGACATGGCTCAAGGGAGTAATGTTCATTCATCTGTGAAACAAACTGCTACCACGTGCCAGTCACATGAGTTCACAGAAGAGAAAATTAGCATTTCAAGATGGAGGTTAAAAGAAGTAAACAGCTTCAAATCCCCCTTTTCCTTAATTGCTATTTTTCTTTAGAAGTGTTTATTCTTAAGTGCCTGACATAGTTTGAGGCAGAGAAAATACCTTGTTTTAAATTGGTCCTGAAGAAAATAATGTTTAAAAAGAGGGTGTTCTAAGAGAAAACATTGTACAGTTTTTGTCAGAGCTTTGTTTGTTCCAGACTCTTATCTCTAAAGTCCTGTGGCATAAACCTCCACACCCTATTGCCTTCACAGGATGGTTCCCACATCAGTAGAACGACTCCGAGAAGGAGGGAGCATCCCCAAGGTCCTCCGAAGCAGTGTGAGGGTGGCCCAAAAAGGAGAGCCTTCTCCCACGTGGGAGAGTAACATCACAGAAAAAGACTCAGGTGAGCCAATGGCCTTCTGCCAACCAGGTACAGGGACACGAGCCAGGCTCTACACAATGCACATCAAATGCTGGGCTGAGGTGAGTCCATTTCTTATGCAGTTGGGCTCCCCTGTATGCAGAGTTCCAGCTCAGTCTTGCTTTCACTCTTTTGGGCTACAGCATTCTTAAGATCTAGCATTGCTTGCTCTTTGTCTGCTCTTTTTTCCCAAAGGATACCTTTATGTAACTCATCTCTCCAAAGCCCTGGGAATCACCTTGATGAAGGATGAAGAGAAAAAAGGAGACAGAAATCAGATCAGGCATTTAAAACACCCCATAATTAACCACTCCTTTTGCCCTTCTGGCATGCTGCACTCACCTGATTTGTCAGAAAGAGAGCGGCATGGGTTGGTGCTGGCATTGGTGACTTGAATGAACAATGGATCTCTCACACTTATTCTAAGAAAATAAGTTGATTTTGTATTACCTTCCAGACCCTGCAGATGGTGAAGGCCCAGAGACACTGAGCTCAGCACTCTCTAAAGGAGCAGCCGTTTACAGCCCTTCCAGATACAGCTACCAGGTGAGACAAGAAAGTGCTCATCTCTGGGCATAGGAATGTGTTCTGGGTTCCAAGTGTTTTGTGATCCGGGCCGTCCTTTGCAGTTGAGATGCCGTCTTTGCATATAGTTTCAGCAGCTTTGGAAATAAGTCATCATCTGGTCACCTTCAGGTGATAAATCATGCCAGAAAAATTAGTGACCAAAGACACCATCTTACTGTCCTTGGTATCCTAAAAAGAACAAATGTTTAAGAAGATGAAGAAAAAGTAGGATATTTTAAATATTCACAAGCCTAAATGGCTTAAATAGGGACTTTTTCACCTCCTTATGTTTTCCTCCCAACTCTTTCTAGCTCCTGCAGTGTGATAGTCCACGGACAGAATCACAAAGCCTCCTTCAACAGAGTTCCTCCCCCTTTAGAGGACATCCCACCCAGTCTCCGGGATACAGTTATCGAACTACTGCACTGAGACCTGGGAACCCCCCTTCTCATGGTTCTTCAGAATCCTCCCTCTCTTCCACGTCCTATTCCAGCCCTGCCCACCCTGTGTCCACAGACTCGTTGGCCCCATTTACGGGGACACCAGGGTATTATAGCAGCCAGCCACATTCTGGAAACAGCACCGGCAGCAGTCTTCCAAGGAGGAGCTGCCCTTCTAGTGCTGCTAGCCCTACCCCGCAGGGCCCCTCAGACTCGCCGACCTCAGACTCGGTTTCCCAGTCCAGCACAGGAACTCTGAGTTCCACCTCCTTTCCTCAGAACTCTAGGTCGTCATTGCCATCAGACTTCCGGACTATCAGTCTGCCCAGTGCTGGGCAGTCAGCTGCCTACCAGGCCTCCAGGGTATCTGCGGTTTCCAATTCACAGCACTACCCACATCGAGGGAGTGGGGGTGTGCACCAGTACCGGCTCCAGCCACTGCAGGGGTCAGGGGTCAAGACTCAGACAGGACTTTCCTAGGGCTTCTGGATTTGGGCAAACAGAACTTGAATGAGCCCATAGCTGCTTCCTTCCAGCTGCCTCTGGAACCTAGGCCGAGCATATTGCTGGGGGAGGGGGTACAAGGTGCCAGAGGATTGGGTCTGGTCAACAAGAAACAAGACTTGTGGTCGTGACTGGCTCTGGCCTTGGAGAAAGATGTAAATCTTGTCTGAAGCAGAGACTATAAAGAAGTTTCTCCCTGCTGTTAAGGGTACATTGTTGACAAGCAAATGGTGTTTCGGTTAGTAATGGTTCTAAGTGCAATGAGTTGTGTTGAAGCCTCCGTCTCCCATCCTTGCCTGTATCCTGTAGTCACTTGTGCAGTGAGGACATCTTTTTAAATCAAAAAAAAAGTTTTCAAAGGAAAAAATGGTGAGAAGAGCCAATCTCAAAGCCCCAAGCCATCTGAGTAGTGTTAGGGTTTTATGCACTTAAGAAAAAAGGTAGGTATATAAGACAACCATTCCAAAAGCAGTTATCTGGCCAAGATGTGTCCACCCAAGAATATTCCTTACCTTTGTCTTAGAAACACCAAGAAAGAGGCGGGGATAGTGAAGCTTGGAGTGTGCTTTGACTGAGGGGTGCCTGGATCTCTGAGGAAGAGCTCATGGTCAACTCTTGATTATTCAGGAGCAGATTGTCCTAGTAGATTGTCTGAGCCCCCAGCTGGTACCATCCCACTCGCCTTCCCCAAGCTATTTCACAGCTCAGTAATCTATGAAGTAAGTAGGCAAAGAAAAGAGATATAACTGAGATGGGCCAATTGCATTGCTACTTATCAGCTTTTGGCAATAAATTTGATTAGGAAGGGTCCCAGGTGGTTAGGGAATTCTTTGAATTTTATTTTTTCTACTCCCAATTAATCAGGAGTTGACGATCCCCTGAGTAGGACTGCCTCCATGATTGGGGAGCATGCACTCGTGACTGCAGGGTAAGAGTGGAAAGGTACATTTGTGGAATGGCACCGACAGGACTGTGATTGTGTGTGGCATGTCCCACGTTTCTTTGGGAGATGCTTATTTGAGAGTGGCCCAGGTGAGAGTGTTATAAAGCCACCCACATACCTAATAACACTGTTCTGGATGAGAGATGAGAGCAGACTGGCTTCTCCCCATCAGTGCATTGTGCCTGTTGTACACCCCTGCAGGAGCCCTGGAGCCAGCCAGGTGGGGTACACAATCTTTTTAAATTCCATACGGTTGCCAGCTTATTTCTTTCACTTGTTTACTGTAATATCCGGCGTGTTTTTATTTATCTAATTTTGTATTCAGTTATAACCATGGTAGGGGTAGCAGATACCTGACAGGTGTAATCCCTGGTGCTGCAGTGGACCTTACTTCTTTCTTTTGGACAAGATAATACTGTGAGTCTCCCTCCTTCCTTCCCTCCAGTTTGTTTTCTCCTTTTTTCCCTCAGCCTCTTACATCCCCTTTCTTTCTACCCTCTCCTACAACTATCATATGCACAGTCTTCTCTCTTTGTGTGTGACTGTTACAAAATTTCACTTTTTCAAAATTGAAATCAGGTGTTTGCTCAAATGAGGGGAGATTTTTTTTTAATGCTGAGACTTCAGCAGAATACTTTTCTTTTTGTTTCCCCCACAAACCCATCAGTCTGGGAGAGCGTTGGGAGTGGAAATCATGTTGCCTGGGATGCTGGTTTCTTTGTATATTATATAAAACGTATGTAAATGTCTCTCCATTTGGGCTGGGGTTTGCATTCTCCCCTTGGCTTTTGACTGAGGGGAGAGGCCAGCGGGCAGGCGGCCCTCACCCTGCCTGGCACGTGCAGAGACCCCAGCCACTCTGTGTGGGCAGGGTGCTGTCAAGACCAGACCTCTGGGGGGGGGGGGGGGGGGGGGGGGGGGGGGGGACTCTTGGAAGGGAAGAAGTATCACTTCTTTCTCAAGTGGAGTGTTTACACCTTGCTGTAACATTTGAACTTTCACAAGAGATGTAATAATTTTGATAATAAAATTCTTAACCATAATAATCATAAGTTGAGAACTTCTTTGTCCAGTTCTGTGACCTTGGCTTGCCTGGTTTTCCTAACGCTGTCCTTACTTGAAGAGAGCAAAGATGGACCCACATTCAGGGGACTGTGCTCTTGGTGTTGTTTTGTCCATAATGGGGTCAGGAATACAGACTGATCTTCCTTCACCATTTTATGATTAAGATCAGGCTATAATCCTTTACTGAGTGCTAGGCTATATGTAAGGTGCTGGGAATATGAAGATAAGACAGCCTCCTTCTCTATTACTAGGTACGTTGCTTTCGATGTGATATAAATATTAGAAGCTGAACTGTATTAAAGAAATAAGCAAGTGCACCTTGTATACAACTTCACAGTTAACCAGGCTCTTCCATTTATGTCATTGGTTGTCTCATTCATCCGTAGAATATGTTAAGGTAGGTATATTATTCCCATTCTATAATTTTTTATTAGTTTCAGAGGATATAATGTGTCCAAGATTTCTCTCTTCTAAATGGCAGGCTCCAACTGACAGTCTTGGAAATTTTGCAGTTTACCCAGGAAACAAAAAGAGATAGCTAGAGATGCTTTGACTAGAAATCGCTTAACTAGCAGGAAAAGTATATCATACCAGTTCTTGCCTTAAAAAGCAGTCTGGGCTTTTTAGCCTTCAGGCATCATTTTGATGGTGCATGGTTCTCTGTTTACTAAAGGTCACCCTGAAGAAAAAAATGCACTATTGTCCAAATGGAGTAGGCCATTTACTTTGAAACTACACTGATTATCAGTTCATCAGCACAGCCTTCATAACCTGCTATGAGGCTCAGAGACAGAAAGGTTCCTGTGCTGAAGATGAATAAAGGAAACAGCTTGGAGAAAAAGCATAGTTATTGAAGGAGATGGTGTTCCTCTATAACTTTTCCCTACTCCTACGCTCAAAACTTACTCTGAGATACAAAACCTTGGGCAACTTTATAGGAAAATTACACATACCCATGAGCCTCAAAACACCAATAGCCACAAGACCTTCATGGTATCACGTTCTGTTCCAGAGGAAGCAATGGTGTGTCTGATGGGTCTCAGAACTCCAAACGAGCACTCACCTGGAAGTTCAGTGAGCCAATTTGAGAACAACAGTCAAACTAGAAGGGATTTGCAGTGCGGGCAAAGGTGCTTGGGTAAGTCTGAAGGGGCTGGAGCAGTCTGGGCCCAAGACAATTCTAAACAGCAAAGCTCCCAGGACAGAGCTCCACACTGAAAAGAAACTCCTGATAGAATCCAAATTGAGCAGGAGAGGTGGAGGATCACATTAAATAAAGTATTTCGAATGAGTGAAACTAGGATTGTCCATAAAAGTGTTAAATAACTTACCTTGTTCTTTAACTCCTGAGAGAAACAGTTGGTCATAGGTTGTTCTGCTGGGGCTTCCCTGGTGGCGCAGTGGTTAAGGATCCACCTGCCAGTGCAGGGGACACGGGTTCAAGCCCTGGTCCGGGAAGATCCCACATGCCGCAGAGCAACTAAGCTCGTGTGCCTTAACTACTAAGCCTGTGCTCCAGAGCCCAGGAGCCACAACTACTGAGCCCACGTGCCACAACTGCTGAAGCCCGCTCACCTAGAGCCCATGCTCCACAACAAAAGCCACCATAGTGAGAAGCCTATGCACCACAACGAAGAGTAGCCCCTGCTCGCTGCAACTAGAGAAAGCCCACACACGGCAATGAAGACCCAACACAGCCAAAAATAATATAAATAAATATGTAAAAAAATTAATTGTTCTGCTGAATGTCAACTGCTATTGTTTGCACAGTCCATATTTTAATATTTTACACACACAGAAAAAATGTGCTGTAAAACCTTGAAACTAGAAAGAAATCATACCTCCCTTTATTTACCCATAAAAATGGGTAACAGAAAGTACCATAGTCAAATTCCAAACAGTTACAAGAAAGGAGCAGAATAATATCCCCACAGATAAAAGCATGCTAATGAAATAGGACAGGAAAAGGAAATAACAGGTATACAGATTAGGAAAACAAATGACTGTTCACAGAGGAGGACATAATTGTCTTATAGAAAATCCAAAAGAATTGACCCCCCCCAAAATAAAAAGATGCAACTAATAAGCAGTTATAGCAAGGTTGCAAGGTATAAGGTTAATGATATAAATGTCAGTTGCTTCCTCATATACGAACAACTGGAATTTGAAAGTTTAAACACTAACATTTACATAAGAACTGAAAAAATGAAATAGGTATAAATCTAACAAAATATCTAAAAGACCTATATGGGTAAAACTACAGAATTCTTGATGAAAGAAATCAAAGAACTAAAGAAACAGGGATATTCCACGGCCATGAATGGGAAGACTCAATGTCAGGATGTCTGATCTCAACTTGACCTTTAGATTCGTAATCCCAATCAAAATCCCAGCAGATAGGGCCTCCCTGGTGGCGCAGTGGTTAAGAACCTGCCTTCCAATGCAGGGGACACAGGTTTGAGTCCTGGTCCAGGAATATCCCACGTGCCGCAGAGCAACTAAGCCCGTGCGCCACAACTACTGAGCCTGCACTCTAGAGCCCGCGAGCCACAAATACTGAGCACACGTGCCACAACTACTGAGGCCTGCACACCTAGAGCCCGTGCTCTGCAACAAGAGAAGCCACTGCAGTGAGAAGGCTGCACACCACAACGAAGAGCAACCCTCACTCAACGCAACTAGAGAAAGCCTGCATGCAGCAACAAAGACCCAACACAGCCAAAAATAAATAAAATAAAATCCCAGCAGGTTGTTTTGTGGATAGCAACAAAATTATTCTAAAGTTTATAGGCAGAGGAAAAAGACCCAGAGTAGCCAACACAGTGTTAAAAGGGAAGAATGAAGTCAGCCGGCCGTTGAGACTTACTATAAAGCTACAGTAATCAAAATAGCATGGTATTGGAATAAGAATAGACAAATAGGTTGATAGAGCACCCGGAAACAAACCCACACAAATACAATCAACTGATATTTGACAAACAAGCAAGGGCAATACAGTGGGGAAAAGATAGTCTTCAACAAATGGGGCTGGAACAGTTGGACATCCACGTGCAAAAAATGAATCTAGACACAGACCTTAAACACTCTTCACAGGACTTCCCTGGTGGTGCAGTGGTTAAAAATCTGCCTGCCAATGCAGGGGACACGGGTTTGAGCCCTGGTCCGGGAAGATCCCACATGCCGTGGAGCAAGTAAGCCCGTGCGCCACAACTACTGATCCTGCGCTCTAGAGCCCAAGAGCCACAACTACTGAGCCTGCATGCCACAATTACTGAAGCCCGCACACTGCAACGAACAGTAGCCCCCGCTTGACACAACTAGAGGAAGCCTGCATTCAGCAAC